TGAACCAACAATATAACCCAGGCCACTGAAAGTTGACATAACATTTGAACCAACAATATAACCCAGGCCACTGAAAGTTGACATAACATTTGAACCAACAATATAACCCAGGCCAATGAAAGTTGACATTTGAACCAACAATATAACCCAGGCCACTGAAAGTTGACATAACATTTGAACCAACACTATAACCCAGGCCACTGAAAGTTAACATTTGAACCAACAATATAACCCAGGCCACTGAAAGTTGACATAACATTTGAACCAACAATATAACCCAGGCCACTGAAAGTTGACATAACATTTGAACCAACACTATAACCCAGGCCACTGAAAGTTAACATTATTTATAGCCATTAGAGTTCTAACTGAGAGTCTATGTAAACATTGTGTTGACAACAATAATAAAATTAATATAAAAAAAACCTTGATAATAATAAGCCTTTAAATGCACTGAAAATTTAAAAACCTTTTTAATAATAAGCTTTTAAATGCACTAATGATTTTAAATATAAACTAATTTGCTTTATTTAATAAAAGCATTGGAGGCAAATGAGTTTTTATTTTCCACTTTTTGGTAATTTGTTCCAACTGAAGTTGAAACCACAAAGGACTAAAAATATTTGTGTTAAAACCCAATCCAGTAGCTTGCAATCCTCACAAGACAATTATCTGCCCACACTCAAGCAAAAAATCACTTGATAGTGAAAAAACAAATTATTGTAATAGATAGCTGATCGAGCTCTGTAATGTATTTAATCTTGTTATCTCACCTTTTAATATTGAATTTACAGGGATGTGACCAGACCATGAAATAAACAGGAATTTATTTCTGACAAGCAGTGGCGGAACTAGAAAAAAAGGGCCACCCCGCAAAAAAATTTTTTGGGCCCCCCATATTTGTGTGTATATATATATATATATATATATATATATATATATATATATATATATATATATATATATATATATATAACACGCTATCAATCGTGTGTTTATTTGAGATGTTGCCTTGTTTTCTAGAACAGTGGTAATTAAATGTAAACAATGTTGGCTCTTTATTTCTTTGAGTTTAGTAGTTTGGGAGCTAGTTTGTCCACACTACCAACGATACGTCTCAGCTTAGTTGTTGGGGCGCTAGTTTGTCAACACTACCACAGAAACACCTCGGTTTACGCTGATGGTGTAAGAAACACCCTCAGGCATCGCGTGGCTCTTGAGACGGCCCCCGGCGGTAGTCCCTAATGCAGCGAGACTACGCATTTCCACAGGAAGACGTCAGTCCGATATGTTTAAACAAATATTAAGCCTATGACAGAAACCTTTGCTGGAGTGTACTCAAAAACTTCCCAACTTTTTATTTGGATAGCATGTTTAAACAAATATTAAGCCTATGACAGAAACCTTTGCTGGAGTGTACTCAAAAACTTCCCAACTTTTTATTTGGATAGCATGTTTAAACAAATATTAAGCCCATGACAGAAACCTTTGCTGGAGTGTACTCAAAAACTTCCCAACTTTTTATTTGGATAGCATGTTTAAACAAATATTAAGCCTATGACAGAAACCTTTGCTGGAGTGTACTCAAAAACTTCCCAACTTTTTATTTGGATAGCACGAAGGGTGTAGTACTGCATAAAAGACAGACACACGGTATTCACGTGTACAGCTGTATGTGCCCAGCTCACGCAGAGGAAAACCTTTTGATTTAAGGGACATCCATAAATGACGTCATGCTTTTTTTTATGACTGACAAAAGGCTAGACCCTCACCCCTATAGGCGTCATTTATTAATTGATTATAAACGTTTCATTAATTCATGTACTAATTCTAATAATACAAATGTTTAATGAATATGATTCGTCAAACTAATTAATTATATGCTATGAAATTAATATCTGCTGACTAGTGTCTGATAAAATGTGAGAAGTGGAGAATGTACAGCTAGGAACTTTGGATTCATTTATCTATTCACTACTTCATTTATCTATTCACTACTTCATTTATCTATTCACTACTTCATTTATCTATTCACTACTTCATTTATCTATTCACTACTTCATTTATCTATTCACTACTTCATTTATCTATTCACTACTTGTAAGGCTAAGAGCGGGGGGGGGGGGGGGTCATTTATCTATTCACTACTTGTAAGGCTAAGAGTGGGAAGAGGGGGGGGGGTCATTTATCTATTCACTACTTGTAAGGCTAAGAGTGGGAAGGGGGGGGGGGGTCATTTATCTATTCACTACTTGTAAGGCTAAGAGTGGGAAGGGGGGGGGGTCATTTATCTATTCACTACTTCATTTATCTATTCACTACTTCATTTATCTATTCACTACTTGTAAGGCTAAGAGCGGGAAGGGAGGGGGGGGGGTCTGAGAAAGGAACTTAAGAGACAACAAAGCGCAGACGTGCTTGTATCCATCAGTACCGAAGCTGGGATGGTCTCAACTTTTTTCCAAACGCCTGTTGTAAAATACTCAAGGGAGAGAATTCAAATTATACACGTTTACTATCGCATATTTTGTAAAACAAAAATAAGTAAACGTACATAAAACCGAAATTATATTCTTTTTGATTACTTGTAGAATACAGGATAATACAAAATAGTAGCTCTACCAATACAAAAAACTTACATTTTACTTTAAAAAACAACATAATGGCCATTGAACAGCTGGGTTTTTAACGGAATCATTTAAGTCTCTTAATTAGTGTCTGCATTTAATATGGTGTTGTGTTGACTAATAATGTATGCAAATAATTTGATTTTAATTTTTCTAATAGGTATTGGTAGCCTAGGTTATTTTAAATGTATCGGAGTTTTAGCTATTTAGTTATTTCTTTGCTTTGTCACAAATATCGTTCAACGTGTAGTAAAGAACATAGCGTTTTGACCAATAACTTTTTTATAAAATATTTTTCTCCAACAAGTATAACATTAAAATACATAGGCCTATAATTTACATGTAACGGGTACCGACAGCTAGTTATATTATAAAAAGCAATTTTTCCTACCTTCCAACTGGAATGGCAAAGTAAAAGACCATGAGAGCTTTGGTTCTCTTGTCACTGGCAAATAGGTCAGCTATGATGGTGGGGGCGATGGTGGAGTAGCTGGCTTCTCCGATCCCAACTAGGGCTCTTAGCAGCACAAACAGCCAAAAGTACTGCAAGCAATATCAATACATTGAAAAAGGAATGACTTCAAGACAACTTGATTTGGACATCAGTTTAAAACCCAAGTTAAATCTCAACGAAATGGGTTCATCCATCTATAACGACCATACGGGGGTCCAAAAAGTAATTGACTTTTGTTGACCCACCATACGGGGGTCCAAAAAGTAATTGACTTTTGTTGACGCATGTGGACAGGGGGAGGGAGCTGGTTTGTTTGGGTCATTGTGGACATCCACACGTTGAATTTATTAACAACTAAATACTTTTTCTTTTAAATTGCACATAAAATGTAGGTTATAGATTTTATCATTAGTTCTCATGTTGAAAGTATTAACAACAAAATACTTATATTTTTAAAACAAAATTGCACATAAAATGTAGGTTATAGATTTTATCATTAGTTCTCATGTTGAAAGTATTAACAACAAAATACTTATATTTTAAAAAAAAATTGCACATAAAATGTAGGTTATAGATTTTATCATCAGTTCTCATATTGAAAGTATTAACAACAAAATACTTATATTTTTAAAACAAAATTGCACATAAAATGTAGGTTATAGATTTTATCATTAGTTCTCATGTTGAAAGTATTAACAACAAAATACTTATATTTTTAAAAAAAAAAAATTGCACATAAAATGTAGGTTATAGATTTTATCATCAGTTCTCATGTTGAAAGTATTAACAACAAAATACTTATATTTAAAAAAAAAATTGCACATAAAATGTAGGTTATAGATTTTATCATCAGTTCTCATGTTGAAAGTATTAACAACAAAATACTTATATTTTTTAGCGCAATTTCCATTCTGGAGAATTGCGTTTATTAACTCGTCTTTTCTGGGAATGAATGGATGGATGAATGGATGTGTGTCCGCAGCTTTAAGTCGTATCTCCTCCTCAACGAAGCAATATAGAGGACTAGTTCCAAAAGCAATTATATTAAGCAAGTTACGAGGATGAACATAGGCCATAAAAATTCTGGGTTTCTTTCATGGATTTCCCGAAAAAGCCAAAAAAACCTCGAAAAAATGCAGTTTTTGGCCCATATCTCGGCAACCAGACCACTTAGCGACTTAAAACATGTACCAATCGATTTCTGCCATAATTTAGAACAATATTGCCGAAGAAAGTTTTCAAAAATATCCTTTCGTTTGGTCACAAAAAAAATTTTGAATTAATTAAAATTTGGACCGAATTAGTAGGCATTTTATGCAACCACACCACACGCGTCATCACGTTCAATAGCTGCGCCATCACGTTCAATGGCTGCGACGTCACGTTCGGTAGCTGGGCGTGCAATGGTTTTTAGTCATGTTACTCTATCGTAAATAAAACATGTAAAATACTGAAAAAAAAATTAATAAAAAACGTTTTAATAACTAACCAATGGTTTTACTAACCCTGCTCTTGATTTACGCTACGACAGAGCTATTTTTAGATAACACAAGGAAATTGCGCTAAAATTGTCACTAGACTTTTTTTAATTACTTGTTTTTTAAAAATTGCACATAAAATGTAGGTTACAGATTTTATCATCAGTTCTTATGTTGAACATCCCCAGCACAACAGGTGAAAAATGTATCAGAAATGTAACTGTTTACAGCCCGCATAAAAGGGGGAGATTTTGTCTTTTAACAACCGGGAGGGGAGGGGGTTCAGTGACAGCACAATTATCTAAAACATTTTACAGTATTTTAAGTTCATTTTTAAACATTTCAACTGATTAAAGCTTAAGTTTAAAAACTATTAGTTCTAGACTTTGATTGATCGTGTAACTAAAAAACAGTTCCTTATTGTCAATTTGTGTCAAAGCCTAAGACGACACAGATCTAGATATTTTGTTTCTAGTAAAAAACTCAAAATAACCACATTACAATTATATATTTAAATAAAAGCGCGTGTATAATGTGCTCGCTTGGTCAAGTGTGTAGGACTCATGGTCAGCGCAACGACAAAAGGGGGTGGTGGGGTGGTGGTTTCTTGTGGAAACGAATGTAGCGTAAGATTGAGTAAATGTAATATAATGATGTCACATTGATTAGCCGAATTTATCCTAACCCATATAGTCGTTAATAGCTAGACAGCCACAAATGACATTAAAATGTTCAGTCTACAATATCTTCAATATTATTTTACAGTTTTTGTTTGGTATTGACAGAAACATTTAAACCCATAGGGTCTAATTTATACTGTCGTTTAAAATATGCTTTTTTCCCCCAACACTTTCTAAGCTCAACTTTTAATATAACTATTTAGGCCTAGCAATAAATGTTACCCAAAATATCAAATCCTACAATCCATTAGCAACTAATCAAGTAGCAAGGTACACATTACATGTCATTATGAAGATTTCCCAGCTTTTCATTGGATGTTCCCACTTTCCCTGCCAGGAAATTTTATTTTAAAATTTCCCTGCCAGGAAATTTTATTTTAAAATTTCCCTGCCAGGAAATTTTATTTTAAAATTTCCATTTTAATCCGTTTTCCAGCTCAGCTGATAAACTATAAGCAACAACTTGGACATGATTGAAGCAACAACTTGGATATGATTGAAGCAACAACTTGGACATGATTGAAGCAACAACTTGGACATGATTGAAGCAACAAGCCAGATCTAAACTTGGACATGATTGAAGCAACAACTTAGATATGATTGAAGCAACAACTTGGACATGATTGAAGCAACAACTTGGACATGATTGAAGCAAGAAGCCAGATCTAAACTTGGACATGATTGAAGCAACAACTTGGACATGATTGAAGCAAGAAGCCAGATCTAATGAAGAGCTCATTCAAAGCCTGTACTTACATCTTGTGAGATGAATGAACTAGCCAGTGTAAACCCTGACCAGAGAAAGATGCCAGCAGCCATCAAATATTTGCGTGTATATCTGTCTCCAAGGTAGCCAAAGATAGGGGAGAAGACCATGTAAGTACAAATAAATGCTGTCTGTATAGACCCAGCTGATGAGTTACCTAACTTGTAGAAAGATTTGACCTCTATCAACACACCTGTCAATAAGAACAAAATTACAGGATTACACACAAGTTACCAGATGATTACACACAAGTTACCAGATGATTACACACAAGTTACCAGATGATTACACACAAGTTACCAGATGATTACACACAAGTTACCAGATGATTTCACACAAGTTACCAGATGATGACACACAAGTTACCAGATGATGACACACAAGTTACCAGATGATTACACACAAGTTACCACATGATTACACACAAGTTACCACATGATGACACACAAGTTACCAGATGATGACACACAAGTTACCAGATGATTACACACAAGTTACCAGATGATTACACACAAGTTACCAGATGATTACACACAAGTTGCCAGATGATTACACACAAGTTACCAGATGATTACACACAAGTTACCAGATGATTACACACAAGTTACCAGATGATTACACACAAGTTACCAGATGATTACACACAAGTTACCAGATGATTTCACACAAGTTACCAGATGATGACACACAAGTTACCAGATGATTACACACCACTTGATTACACACAAGTTACCAGATGATGACACACAAGTTACCAGATGATTACACACAAGTTACCAGATGATTACACACAAGTTACCAGATGATTACACACAAGTTACCAGATGATTACACACAAGTTACCAGATGATTACACACAAGTTACCAGATGATTACACACAAGTTACCAGATGATTACACACAAGTTACCAGATGATTACACACAAGTTACCAGATGATTACACACAAGTTACCAGATGATTACACACAAGTTACCAGATGATTTCACACAAGTTACCAGATGATGACACACAAGTTACCAGATGATTACACACCACTTGATTACACACAAGTTACCAGATGATGACACACAAGTTACCAGATGATTACACACAAGTTACCAGATGATTACACACAAGTTACCAGATGATTACACACAAGTTACCAGATGATTACACACAAGTTACCAGATGATTACACACAAGTTACCAGATGATTACACACAAGTTACCAGATGATTACACACAAGTTACCAGATGATTACACACAAGTTACCAGATGATTACACACAAGTTACCAGATGATTACACACAAGTTACCAGATGATTACACACAAGTTACCAGATGATTACACACAAGTTACCAGATGATTACACACAAGTTACCAGATGATTACACACAAGTTACCAGATGATTACACACAAGTTACCAAATGATTACACACAAGTTACCAAATGATTACACACAAGTTACCAAATGATTACACACAAGATACCACTTGATTACACACCACATGATTACACACAAGTTACCAGATGATTACACACAAGATACCACTTGATTACACACCAGATGATTACACACAAGTTACCAGATGATTACACACAGGTTACCAGATGATTACACACAAGTTACCAGATGATTACACACAAGTTACCAGATGATTACACACAAGTTACCAGATGATTACACACAAGTTACCACTTGATTACACACCACTTGATTACACACAAGTTACCAGATGATTACACACAAGATACCACTTGATTACACACCAGATGATTACACACAAGTTACCAAATGATTACACACAGGTTACCAGATGATTACACACAAGTTACCAGATGATTACACACAAGTTACCAGATGATTACACACAAGTTACCAGATGATTACACACAAGTTACCAGATGATTACACACAAGTTACCACTTGATTACACACCACTTGATTACACACAAGTTACCAGATAATTACACACAAGTTACCAGATAATTACACACAAGTTACCAGATGATTACACACCAGATGATTACACACAAGTTACCAGATAATTACACACAAGTTACCACTTGATTACACACCACTTGATTACACACAAGTTACCAGATGATTACACACAAGTTACCAGATGATTACACACAAGTTACCAGATGATTACACACAAGTTACCAGATGATTACACACAAGTTACCAGATGATTACACACAAGTTACCAGAAGATTACACACAAGTTACCACTTGATTACACACCACTTGATTACACACAAGTTACCAGATAATTACACACAAGTTACCAGATAATTACACACAAGTTACCAGATAATTACACACAAGTTACCACTTGATTACACACCACTTGATTACACACAAGTTACCAGATGATTACACACAAGTTACCAGATGATTACACACAAGTTACCAGATGATGACACACAAGTTACCACATGATTACACACAAGTTACCACTTGATTACACACCACTTGATTACACACAAGTTACCAGATAATTACACACAAGTTAACAGATGATTACACACCAGATGATTACACACAAGTTACCAGATGATTACACACAAGTTACCACTTGATTACACACCACATGATTACACACAAGTTACCAGATGATTACACACAGGTTACCACATGATTACACACAAGTTACCACATGATTACACAAAAGAAAGGTTACAAGAAATGTTGCTAATATTAAAAGGAATCTTTAAAAAAAAAAGTGATCCAGTTACCAGCCACTGTAAACCTATCCATGTAATTGAGCAAGTTGACCAGCAGAAGTATGGCCACAGTAAAGTAGGCCCTCTTGTTGCTGACTGGCACCTGCCTGCTGCTACTGGAGACATCAGGCTCCCCGTTGATCTCTGCTCTGTTCATGGTGGGAGCTGTCTGGGATGGGCTGGAAACATCTAAAGGCATGACTGAAGTCAGTTGAACACAGTCATCTAGTGGACTTGAATCACTCATTTGTTTGCAAGCTCATCTCATAGCTATGTCTGCACACTCAAAAGATCTTCCAAAGTCTCAAACATGCATCATCTGAAGAGTTAGAAATATTTTAAAGGCTCTGCTCCTTTAGCATTGCTTCAAATTATGTTCTGCAATAATTAAAAAAAGAAGCAGTGCAAATGTGTACATCATACAACACAGTGGAAACAATGGCCAGAGTTTGAACAGCAAGTCTGACACAGGTGACCCACTTGACCTACATCTCATCATCATGATAACAGGCTTCAGTGGTGCTGCAGTTACAGAGGTGGGGTGTCTAACTGTCTAGCTAGAGTTGTTAAGTGGGGTGTCTAACTGTCTAGCTAGAGTTGTTAAGTGGGGTGTCTAACTGTCTAGCTAGAGTTGTTAAGTGGGGTGTCTAACTGTCTAGCTAGAGTTGTTAAGTGGGGTGTCTAACTGTCTAGCTAGAGTTGTTAAGTGGGGTGTCTAACTGTCTAGCTAGAGTTGTTAAGTGGGGTGTCTGTCTAGCTAGAGTTGTTAAGTGGGGTGTCTAACTGTCTAGCTAGAGTTGTTAAGTGGGGTGTCTAACTGTCTAGCTAGAGTTGTTAAGTGGGGTGTCTAACTGTCTAGCTAGAGTTGTTAAGTGGGGTGTCTAACTGTCTAGCTAGAGTTGTTAAGTGGGGTGTCTAACTGTCTAGCTAGAGTTGTTAAGTGGGGTGTCTAACTGTCTAGCTAGAGTTGTTAAGTGGGGTGTCTAACTGTCTAGCTAGAGTTGTTAAGAGGGTGTCTAACTGTCTAGCTAGAGTTGTTAAGTGGGGTGTTTGTCTAGCTAGAGTTTTATAAGCCTACCTCTTTCATTTTTTCATCTCTAGATCTGTTATATTAAATTAATAAAATTATGATTAAATTATTATTATAATTAAGTAAGTAGGTCTAGGGATTGATAGATCTAGTGATTATTCTAGTGAGATCTAGAATGTCTAGATCTAGGGTAATCTATCGTTTTAGGTGCGTAAAATCAGCCGAGGCTAGTAATGCGCAAAAAAGTTGCCTCATTGTTAAGGCTTTAATCAACTTTAATGGAAGTATATTGTGATATATTTGTGTCAAAAAATTTTGACAACTGAATAATAAACCAAAATCAATGGCTAAATATAAAATATATCAATATTAGCCAGAAATTAACTTTTAACAGCAGTGTTTGCTTGCAAGATTTGCTATATAAACAGCGACCATCAGTAAGTTAGAGTGGTTTCCCCTGAATCTCTTAACTTGATTTTACCCAAAAAAAACTTAAACAAGATAGCTGCTAAAGTCTGCTAAAGTAAATAAGCTTGGTTGCATCTGATGAAAACTTCGCTAGATCTAGATCTAGTCTGTATTTTTTATTGAAAAGTTTAATACAACCTGTTTAAAAACAAGTAGATCTAAGTCTAAATCTAATCTACATGAATGAAACTTTGAAACATTTCTGTAACTTTCAAAACGACGATTCGAAATATCATCCATAGTGGTCCATACATTCTAGTCTAGTGACTAATCTACTAATTCAGAACTAGTCTAGATTCTAATTCTAAAATCTAGACTAGATCTAGAATCTAGATCTAGTCAGTCAGTCAAAGAAGAGTAATTTTTAATAGTCTTTTTAATAGACTATTGACTTGAGAGTAGAATTAGAACTAGAGATCTAGATCTTCTAGCATTACTGTTACCAATTAGTAAGTAGATTTTTAATAATACTAATTAATACTTTGAACTTTGATTAATATAACTAGACTTAGAGTCTAGAGACCTTGCATGTTTACCTCCGCCACCATCCGGAAATGACATATTGAACTTTAGATAGGAAGACAAGATTGCCATATCAATTTAGCGAAAATTAGTCAAATATTCACATAGATTCTAGATCTAACCCTAACTCTGGTATTAGATCTGGATTCTTGGTCTAGCATTTGACAAGTTAACAATAAAGAAAAAAGTAATTTTATTTTGCAAATCAAAACCTCTGTAAACGATGAGGCAATGTATAAGGGCCGGTTGCACAAAATAGGCCTATGTTACATAGGCTATGTTTAAAACATTTATGATAACAAGCTTCATAATGACATAATGCAGTAATATGAATAATATTATTTTTATTTATGCCTATCAGCGCCCGGTGTCGACCCTAGTAAGAGTGTGTCCAAATGAGTGAGGGGAAATGTCTGCTTAAACTGTATTGTTAAGTAGGCCCAAGGGATCGTCCATAAATGACGTCACACTCGTATAGGCAGAGGGAAGGGGGGTCTGTAATTTTGTGACGGTGTGTGATGAGGGGGGGAGGGGGAGGGTTCAGATGGTGTGATATCACACTTTAGCATTATAAAAAAGCAATGTTAGAAAACGAATTTTAGACGTAATTTCGCGTTTTAGAAAATGTTTTAATAAATTGTAATAGGAATTAATAAAAAAAATACTCTATGTTCACAGAGTTCAGACAAGATTTTGGAAAAATATCGTATTTTAAGAAAAACTCAACTGCAATTTTGAGGGGGGGGGGTTGTAGGCTGAGGCGTGACGTCATTTTAGGGGGAGGGAGAGTCTGGCTTTTTGTGACGATTTGTAACGGAGGGGGAAGGTAAATATCGTCAAAAAGCGTGACGTCATTTGTGGATGACCCCTATTAAATAGTTAAGGCATAGGGCCTAATCATTGTTATACAAACGAAGTTTTATAGATTCTCTCATTCTCATGGGGTCTACCTTTAACTGAAGCGATAACTGCCTAACTATGCTGATTAAAATTAATGTCCTTATATTGTCCTCGTAAATGTCCTGCCACCTCAATTTCAAAATCTGTCTATGACACTTGTTCATGAAGGTCTGTATCTTCTCTGTATCTGCTCCATAAAACAAAAATTGCCTTGGGTCGCAGAACTGTGAAAGTGTAGCGTGCTATACAGTGGCGTAGCAAGGTCGGGTGTCACCCGGTGCGGCACTTAATGGTGTCACCCCCCCCCCCCCCCCTTCCCGGGGACAAATTTTCATTTGCACCCCCCCCCCCCCCTCAAACTTTCGATTTGCACCAATTAAAACACCATTTAACACTCGAATTAATCACTTAATTAAGTGGATTTATCATTTTTCTCTATATATTTTGCTCTTTTTTGCATTGGTGTCACCCCTCTATATGGTGTCACCCGGTGCGGTCCGCACCCCCCCCCCTCGCTACGCCTCTGGTGCTATATTGATTCTAGCAGATATGTCCTTCTGTGACTCCCGAGTTGCTGATCTAGTGCCAAGGTAGACAAACTCTTCAACATCATTTACATGTCTTCCGTCTATTGTTACTCGGGCCTCTTGGTTGGTTCTCGTTACTTCTGTCTTTCCTTTGTTGATCTTAAGACCGACATGCTTTGAGATGGCCCCTACCGCGTCAACCTTTTCCCCTATCTTCTAGTGCATACGAGGATAAAAACAATTTAACGTACTAAAAAAATACATTTAAATAAACCGGGAGTGATCTCCCCTAAACTTTCTCGAATATTCTTATATGAAACAACAGGGGATGGCAACGCGGGGTAGAGATAATTATGATTTTAATCCATTTTAAATACTTAAGATTTTTAAAATAGAAAAAAAAATCTCGTAGAAAAAAGAATTGCACACCAAGTGAACGCGAAATAAAATGTGCATAATGGTGCGGAATGTTACTAGTACTTTATAAATTCAAATGCGTTTTTTTTGAGAAATCGGAAATAGCGAAAATTACTACTTCTGGTCAACGGAAATTACTCAAAATTTGAAAGAACGCAGAGAATTAGATATTTTATTTACTTGTGAAATTTTATTTATCTATCTGAAATAGTACTCAAGTTATAGCCCTTAAAAAAATTCAAAGTAGAAAAAGTTCCACTTCCGGTTATCGGAAGTCGCTCAAAAGTTAATACGGTTCAACGATTTTGATATAATACTTATATATGAAATTTTACCAACTTAGCTGTAACGATACTCAAGTTATCGTGCTTACACACACACACACACACAGACAGACAGACACACACACACACAGAGACATACGGACAAGATTGCAAAACTATGTTTTTCCGACTCAGGGAGGTGTAAAACGTCGAGATTTGCAAAAATCTCAATTATTATTTTTTTGCACGACTACAAGACTTTCTCTATACTTCGTATATACGAGAAAGTAAAAAAGATTTTACTTACAAGTTTAATGTAATAATGCGCTAAGAAAATAAATGTTTTTCTTTGAACATATTAATTATTATAATACTCCCCCTTCCCCCCCCCCACCACGGGAGAAAAAAAAATCTGGAAGAGAGGAAGAAACACTATCTGCACAATCAAGGTTTAGAGGCTAAAGTAGGAAGATTATAGATTATAAGATTATAGAAGTAGGGTCTACCTTTAGTCTGTATAATCTACAAATGCGAAAAATACTCTAATAGCGACTTCAGTAGCGTAGCGAGGGGGAGGGGGCGGGGGGGGGGGGGGAAATATGTCCCCGGGCGCCGACCTTAGGGGGCGCCAAAATGGGTTGGAAAAATAAATTGAAAGGTTGAGGGGGGTGCAAATCGAAAGTTTGAGGGGGGGGGTGCAAATCGAAATCCCGAGGGAGGGTGCAAATCGAAAGTTTGAGGGGAGGTGCAAATCGAAATCTCGAGGGGGGGGGGTGCAAATCGAAAAGTTTGTCCCCGGGCGCCGGGAAGGTTCGCTACGCCTCTGAGCGACTTTTGTCAAGTTTGAGCTTAAGTGCAAGGTTTAGGGATATGACTACGACTATATTTAGTACGAATTCGAGGTAAATACGTAGAGATCAAGGTTAAATCTGGTTTAAAAGGCGATTCTGGATAAAAATCCGTTTTCAATTATATTTTTCGTTTGAGGTTGAATTTGAAGTGATGATTTTGGTTTTCACTTTAGAGAAAAAGACAACGCTATCAAGCTAACGTCCGTTGTATTTCTCCCTAAAACGGGCCATTTTATCTAGTAAATAAATAAGCATCAAATTGAATCAAATTTAATTTCAGATTGCGTTCTCATCGGGTCTTTACTCACGTGCAAGTTTCAGAGTAATTCGTAGGTTAAAAATTTTCGCTCGGTCGTTTCGATCAACGTTTTAATTAATTCATAAAAATTTAATCAGGCATCCAATTAAGCCAAATCTAATGTCATGTTGCAATTGTCTTCATGTCTTGACCCACGCACTAACTACATCGAACCGTATCTGTAAGTTAGAAGTGCCTGCGATTTCGCTCGGCCGTTTCGATCTAGACAGACTGACGACAGACAGAGGAAGTGACTTGAAGTGAGTTAAACAAAAGCTTGTGAAAATAATTAATGCAGTTAGGCCTATGATGAAATCAATCGACACTTCAAATTGATTTTGCAAAAAAAAAAAAAAAAAAAAAAAATCGTAGTTACTCGATACTAAAGCTCCGTTTGGATTTTTATGGTGTTTTCACATTTGAACATGATACAATTCGTACATTTTTAAAACTAAATTTTGTAAAGAAATAATAATAGAATCAGTTTTCGAAAGAATAGAATTTTCAAGCGAATAACTAATTATACAGCGTGGGTGTTATTAAACTGTTTTTCGGCTACACGTTTAAAAAAAATAATGTAAGCACACTAGTATTACTGAATTCGGTGATTTATTGATAATAAGTATAGTACATAAATTAATATATTACACGTTTTTATAAATTGCGGTGGTGAGTGGTCGCCCACTTAGCACAGCTTGTCCCGTACGGCCAACAGTTGATTGATGGAATGATGTCACTGGGCATGGGAAATGTTCGTTCCAAATATGGAATGCTGTAAGCATTAAATAAGTTAAAGAGGGAAAGTTTCAGTATTTACAAAGGCCTGTAGGAAACATAACGTTAAAATATAATCTATATCTACTTATAAGTTTTACAGTTCAAAGATGCGTTAAAACAGTACTTTGAACAGTTACAAAATTTCTAGTACAAATACTTAGATAGTTTTTAAAGGTGAAAGGCTTTCATAATTAAGTTTAGTTAGGCCCTAGCTGAGTGTTATCTCGCTCGTGGTACCCTAGCCCGAAGCCTGTAGACCTACATTAACCCCTATATATGTAGTATATCATGATCAGTAATATATAATGCTTTAAATAATCAGTAAATGCATAAACATTAATGTACATTTACTGTCTTCTTCAATTTTATATTAGTCCATCTGTAAGGTGAATTCAATTTATTTTTTAATACCAAAATATTTAACGTTACCGTAAACGAGTATAACAAGATAGTGCGCATGCGTAGCATAAATGAAAATAAGGGAATAATAATATGGCGATCGCGTAGTGGCATAATCTGCATCCCTGAAATGGCAACACAAAAGCCAGGAGAATGGGTGAATTCGTTAATTGCAAGATTTGATGCTCAGGTAAATGTTTCACACACATATTCGTTAAGCTTTTCAAAGATATTAGTTATAATATGATGCAATTTAGCCATGCATTTTCAGGGCTTGTGTGACCTCGGTAGGGCTGGGTCGTTGGCTTGCGATAGAGATTTATGAATGAGATTTGCCTCAAGTAAAATCGTCTGCTATCGCAGGCAGTCTAGTCTAGATTCTTGATCGAGACTGGCTAATCTAGATCTAGACCTGTCAATAATAGTCAATATGAATATAGATCTAGATGTAGATCTACTAATTAATGCACAGATACCTCTTTTAGTAAAAAAATTACCATATATAATGTAACAGTCAGTGAGTATAGTTGAGTATAGAATCTATACTTCTAGTCTTCTAGAGATCTATCTATTATCTATTATAATCTATCTATCTATTATACTCACTCTATACTCTATACTATAGGCCTAGATAGATCTAGAAGTATTTTGTATAGATAGACTACTATAGACTAGATCTAGAATCTAGATCTAGAATAGTTTCAGTTCCATGACTGTACTGTACTCTTTGCATAAATCTATAAATAATATAATATTAAAGTTAGAATGTTAGTTCATTATTTTTTGGTATTATTCAACCATATCAGTCTAGTTTTAACAATGTACAATTAGTGTTTCATGCTAACTTGCTATTTGTACAATTTCTTTGGTCTAATAGCTGAGAATATCAAGAAGAACTTATAAAATAAGCAAAATGTGAATTGCTTTACTTGATATTGTTATAAACTTACTGAAAATATATACTAAACTATAGTACATTATAGCTTGCTTTCTACTACAATAATGTCATTAATGTTTTTAAATCATGCAAGGTTAAAACAAAACCTATAAAACATAACTTGATCGAGACAACAGCAAACTAAGCCCGCCCATTTTGCCCGCCGTGTATTTGAATGGGCAGAAATTTAGCAGACATCACATTTCTGCTGAACGGCAGAGAAAGATCAATCGTGTTACAAAAACACTCCTTAAAACCAGGAGTGATCTCCCCTAAACTTTCTCGGATATTCTAATATAAAACTACGAGGGATGGCAACTCAGGACATAGACAATATTTGTAATCCATTTTTAATTACTTAAACTTTTTATAATAGAATGGAATCTCGTAAAAAAAAAAAAAACAGAATTGCACACTAAGTGAACGCCTAATAAAATGTGCATAATAGTGTGGGATATTATTAGTACTTTATAAATTTACATGCGTTTTTTGAGAAATCTGAAATAGCGTAATTTGACAGAAGGTAGAGAATTAGATCTTTTACTTACATGTGAAATTTCATTTATCTATCTGAAATAGTACTCAAGTTATAGGCTTTTGAAAAATTCAAAAGTAGAAAGAGTATCACTTCCGGTTATCGGAAATCGCTCAAAAGTTGATAGTGATACGGATCTACGGTTTTGATAAAATACTTATCCATGAAATTTCATCAACCTAGCTGTAACGGTACTCAAGGAATCGTGTTTACACACAGACTCAGACACACGGACAAGATTGCAAAATTACGTTTTTCCATATCAGTGAGGTGTAAAACGTCGAGATTTTTTTTGCACGATAACAATACTTTCTGTATACTTCGTATATACGAGAAAGTAAAAACTAACCCACCATATCACTGAAAATCAGTCTTATCATTGTAGCCATTTAAAAATAAACACGTTTTTTCACAAATCATATTCTAGGCTACCGATTAAATTGGATAAATAAAATTGGTATCAAATTAAAGGTAAATAAATGTAGTTCTCAATTTTTAAAGTTATCACGAACAATAATGAAGTTTAAAATCTTAGGTGACACCCTACCATTGAGGTAAAAATAAAGTCGATTTTAGTAAATTAATGTTTTAATTTTATATGTTTCATCGACATAAGGAAAAGTGAATTAATATAACAGTATATTTATATTAGATCTAAAGATATATAAATAATAAAGTCAAACTATGAAAAAATTACTAGGACAAAGTTTAGTAGCAGAAATATTTAGCAGAGACACTTAAAATAATTAGCATTACAAAATGATTAGTAAAGTAGTATTTAACATGCAATAAAAATCTAAATTTTAAACGTTCTGTATTATAAATAAAGATGGTGCCAAATAAAGTACGGTTTACAGTACTTTCAGTGGATTCTGGAACTGTGTAACAGACTTTGCCATTGTCTTACTGTCTTTTACTGCTATACCATTCCGGAATAATAACCAACGCTCAACTAAGGTTTTACCATAATATTGTAGGCCTAGAAAAAATTTGATTTAGGTCTAGATTCTAGATCTCTATATGTAAATTTAGAATAGATAGGCCAAAATTTAAGTTTAATTTGGTAAGAGTAACTATTCTAAGGTCTGGCCTAATTCCCACGTTTTCTTTAACTTGCTTTCTCTGTGTGTTTATTTGTTTGTCTTTCCAATCAAATCTTGCGATCGAAATTTCTGGCACTTCCCAGTTAGCTAGCGCGCTGAAATTTTCAGGGAAGCTTTCTTTTGGATGACCATTGAATATTCAATTGTTATTATTACTAAATTGATCAATGGAAACATTTTATTGAGCATTTTAGACCGCTATATAATCTATATATATAATTCTCCTCTGCTAGCCATTAGAAAAAAAACCAGCGACGCGTACCTCGCGCGCAGTGAAGCGAACGATCACATGTCGCCACAGGCTTAGGGGCAGAGAATTTAGCTTGAACCGAGTTTAAACTTACAGGAGGTAGGCCAGTTTGGGGGAGACGATATGGTCGAGTGGTTGGGCACACGATTGCTATCCCACTCGACACGGGTTCAAATCTATGTGTTCTAGTCAGTAACGTATTCAAACAACGTGTTTTTTACGAGTTGTCTTTTTACGAGTTGTCTTTTTACGAGTTGTCTTTTTACGAGTTGTCTTTTTACGAGTTGTCTTCGTTTACCCAAAAAAAGTGAAAAGATAAAATCGATAGCAAGATTTTAATGCAAACAAACAGACAAAGACTAAAAAGTAGAAAATAATAATCATTAAAAAAGTTTTAAAAAACCCACGTTTTCTGATTGAACTAAAAAGTAGAAAATAAATGCTATAGGCCCTACATCACAATAATGCAAGCGATCACTCTACTATAAGCGAGCAAAAACGTGGGGCGCCGTGATTTTCTTACAGTTTCTAATACTGTTGACTCTCTACAAGCTCCCTAATAAAAGTCAATAGTATTATCTAATCAATAGTAATATAACTTTTACTTCGGCGCCCCACGTTTTTCATCGCTTATAGTAGAGTGATCGCTTGCATTATTGTGATGTAGGGCCTATAGCATTTATTTTCTACTTTTTAGTTCAATCAGAAAACGTGGGTTTTTTAAAACTTTTTTAATGATTATTATTTTAAAAAATATACCTATGTCTTGGAATCTATATTCTACTAATTTGAAAATAATTTGCACTTTCACTTTTTATTATTTTTTAAATCTTTAAAGCAATATTTCAATTCTATTTAGATCAGGTCTAGGCCTGATTATTATTTATTATAATCAATACAGTGTAGGTACTTAAGTTTGCTTGGCCTTATCTAGTCTATATTAAAAATGTTTATTACAACTATGGCTTTTTTAGTCTAGTACTACATCTAGACCTTGTAAAGCATACATCTATTTTAAACATTGCTCTTTTATTTGAATGATATTTATCTTGAATATACTTACCTTTACCAGCTACCAATAAAGACTGGTTTACATACAACACAGTCCATGCAAAATGTCAAGCAAAACAAGGAATGTCTTGTCAATGTTAGCAAGTACAAATTTTCACTAGTCATCAATGGCCTAACAAAAACACTGCAGAGTGTTTTGCAATTTGTAAGTATAGCAATAATTTGAACTTCCTTAGATCTATTAGACATGAAGGTATAACATCTAGGTAGTGCAACGTTGACTTTGTTTTCATCTTGTTATTAAATTAATCTGTGCTCTAACATTCTCTGATTTGTATCAGCAGAAGGTGAATCGGCCTGAAGCAGAAAGAAACTACTTGGAGTCTCAGCTTATTATTTTGGACACACTGAAACAAGTTCTCAACTCTGTAAGAATTTATCAGCTTTTGTTATATAGGCACCAGCATAGTGTGGTATTGTCTAGTGTTAGAGTAGACAATAATTTTAGTTTACTGGCTTGAGTCTGTAGAACATCTGTAAGTCTACCAACCTCTATAGGACACCTGATTAGAGTTGAGAAAAGTAAATGTGGCTAGGTATAATATGTAATGTTGACCATGCATTCAGAGGTCAGAAACAAATAATTACTGAAAATGATATGTAGTTTTACATATTGACTTAATATAATAATACAAGTGCTTAACCATTTACAAAAAGAAGTAATTCACACAGATAAAAGAGAAGTAATATTTAGAATATTTAGATATAGCCACACACAGTAGTTTTTTTTAGAGCAGATTACACTGACTTGTTGTGTGTTCAAGTGTTCATTAATCAGAGCTTGTTTTCACTCCCGTAATTATGTATAATTAACTGTAAATCTTTTTATCACTATAAGTTTTTTGTCACTATGTACGTCTATAGCAGCCTAAAGATACATCCCGTCTAGATGAAACCATGTATGTCAAATTACTGCTACCAGAAATATGTAAGGTAAGTAGTGTTCCATTGGATAGAGAATAGATGGGAATAATGCAAATGCCTTTACTAGTTCATGCATATATTCTAGTTATTGTATTTGTTTTATAATGAAATTTATCTTAATTTTTAAATATGAACATAAATCTTTCAGTTTCTTAACCAGCAAACAGAAAACCAGCAGTTAAAGATGTTAGCCTCTGAAGTTTTGTTTGCTCTCAGCCTAAACAACTTTACAGCTGTCTTTAATAAAATCTCAGCTAAGTAAGTCAAGTTACAGTACAAATGTCAATCAAGTTGGGCTGTTGCTACAACTAACTGCTAAATGTACTTCAAAATTATTTACTTGGCAGGTTGGTTGCACTGTCTCAGGTAGAGGAAACCTCTGACTTGTCAGACCTTGAACTTATACAGCACATGAACATGGATTTATCTAGACTTACAAAGTTGCTAAATGGTGAATTTGATTTCTTGCCAGTTTGCTACATTTTTATTGTATCAGTTTTAAGTCTGTTAATGTTGGGTTATACACAGTGGTAAAATGTTAACAAGACAACAAAATAATGGTTTAGTTCTTGTAACTGATTGTCTCACAGTGAATTGTCTGAAATACTTTTTCTGCGGGTGATTTTTATTTGTTTATTTTGGCAGAAGTTGTGTCCAAGTTCAAGATGCTTAAATCTCGACCTGTCATTATAACGCTCGGTCAGAATCTCGAGAAGGTTTGTTTTTTTTAAAAGATGAATGTTTATTAAATTTTTTTGAAACATAAAATTTAAGATATAATTAAACAATACATAAAACTGAGATAATTTTTAAAATGCATTAACTATTGATAGGCTATCTGGAATTGGATGGACAACTATCCTGGGGAATTTACTGAATTACATAAAAAACCAAATGATGAACTACAAGGTATTTATTTAACAAACTGCCATGAAACTATTTAGCCACATGCAACAATTTAAGATCATTTTGTCAAAAATTATTTAGTACCCCTGATCTTTGGATCTGATATATCATTTATTTAATTAGCTGCAACAACCTTGGATCTTTGTATGAATTATTTGTTTCAGATTGTTGTGACAAGCTGTTTGACCACTTGAATGTGCTAACAGAGGGATCAAGACGCCGTGTGCAGATATGGCCCTTGCAAATGATGCTTCTTATACTTTGTCCAGTAAGTTTATTTTCAATGACTGAAGTAGCTATTAAACAACTTAACCACAGTAAGTAAAAGGTCATGATACATTTTTTTGTGTGGTAATTTACCACTCTTACTGACAGGCATGAACTTTAAGAGTGTACATTTTATTCTGGTTTTTATATTTTTTAGTCAGAACCTTTTCTTAAAAATTTAAAGTCGATGTGAAATATATATTTTTGCATCATGTACTAATTTTTTATTTAGTTTTGTAAAACCTAACCATATTTTTAGCAGATAATAATTTACAAATTTTATTTTTTCCCCTAAACTTTATAAAACTTTCCTTGGTTCAGGAGGTATTTATAGATTGTTTTTGCAGAGTAAGAGTATTGTCATTTTATAAAAGCTTCATCAGTTTTCATTGCTCTAGCTAATTTAGAAACTTTTCTGTTGTTAACTTAAGTTTTTTTTTGTAGAAATATAATGAATCCAATATTGTCTTAAATGGTTATAAAGTGAATTCAAATTATGCTATGTGACCTTAAAATTACCAATACCATACACATGAAGCTAATTTTACTGTTGTACATTTAAAAATATGCGAAGACCTTAGTGCTAAAAGTAGTTTTTGTCATAATTATCTAGTAATTGGTCTCATTTTGATCATATCAAAGTCAAGCAATGATGTTCAAATGCTAAAAGTATGCAAAATCTCAATTCCCTTTTAAAAAAAAAACAATATGATAACATTGCTAAAAATAATTTAGATCAAGAAGATTATCTAGCCAGGACTTGCTTTCACTTTAGCACAAGGGACTTCACTTATGTAGTTCTAGATAGTGGCAATATAAAATGAGTTGCAACCTAATTTAAGTTTGTTAGAAAACTTTTTGTTTAGTTTTTGCAATTAAATGTTATTGCACAGTATTTATTTATAAGCAATTTAACTTACTTAGGGTATTTAATTACACTGCCTGATAACATCTAAATATAATAGCACAAAGTATATATATTAAAGTTTCAAGACCTCTAGATTATTTACAATGTAAAAAAATCTTTAGTCATCAATTTGACCCACTCACCTCAAGTGTACTCTACTTCACTTGCCCCATAGACCGTCAGGTTTGAAAGGGAAACTTTTTTTTTACCTCATGGTGATTAGTGACATAAACAATAATTAAACCCCAAGCTTGAGGGCACTTAATTTCTGGCAATGCTACACGAATTTGTGGCTAAATAATTAAAAATCTATTTTGAAATAATAGTGATTGAAAGAATTAGGTTGTATTTTGCTACCATAATGTAAAATACATTTAATCACTGTCTATATTGATATTATCTATTGTTCTAATTGTACAACTAAGTAATTCAAGGTATTGGTTTTTTTTTAGTTCTCCCTCATAATAAGAATTTGTTATTATTTGATGAAGATAACATGAATAATAACATTATCAAAAATTGCATCTCTAGTATTTTATTATTAGATGAATATCTCTGAAGTACATTAAGTAATTTATGTCTTACTACCACCAATATTTTCTGTTTTGTGTTCTTAACATTTTTTGTTTTGTTTCTTACACAGAAAATATTAGAAGAGATCAATAATGCAGAGACTGGCGCACCATGTTCACAACAGTATTTAAAAAAGGTATTATTACTAATATTTCATGGTTTTAAGAACAGTCTACAAAAATTAACATTTAAATATAACTTGTGCAATGACAAGGCCTTATATAACCATAAGGGTCATCCACAAACATTTGGAATATGGCCCCCCATGCTGTCCTTTTTGACAACACTACTGCCCCCTTCTCCCAAATGTCTTCAAAAATTTAGAACACCTCTCAAAACCTACTTCTAATTTATTATTTCAATAGCATGTATTGCACCTATAAATTGATAAATGAATATATTTAAATAACATTTATTACAAGGCCTAAAAATTTAAAGTAGAATCTAAATAATTGTTTTAAATGTCAGAGTATGAAAATATTTCTTATTTGAATGATTTTTCCCAATACCAACCAAAAAACTCAAGTAAAAACTTATTTGTGTGTGTGTGTGTGGAAACAAAGTGTTAAAAGTATTATGTTCTATACCTGTAGGTTGCATTTTTATAGTTTACAGCCACCACAGAAAGCTCTTTCCACTTAATGCCATTCTCTGGCAATTTTTCGGCAGTCCCCCAAGATAGACCTGCCTTTGTCAGTTGTTTTTCTGCTGTGTACCTCCATGTCTCTCTTGGCCCCCTATTTCCCTTTCCATTAAGGCATCCAGTTAAACACCACCCCTTTGATATCATCTGGACTTAAAACGTGACCCAGCCAGTGCTATCTTTTTTTTCCTCAATTATGTCTGAAACAGCTTTCATTTACTGTAGTAATCTGTTTATGGAGATGGCGATGCTGACTTGTGGCTTGGCAGCTTGTGTACCCTAATGACCCCAAGAATTTTACCAGCATGAGTGTAAACTCCTGGCATGACCCCAAGTTTGCTCTGCTTTTTCAAAAAAATAAAAATGTTAACCCTTTGAGCCCGCCAGGCCGGTAAACCGGCTTCAACATTAGGCATATATGTCCGAAAAGCCAGTTTTCCAGCCTGATGATCTAGCGTCATATCCCTAGCGGCCGGTATACCGTCTAATTAAATATAATTAGCGGAAGACTGACTAAAACTGTGCATATGTCTTTTTAGTGTGGGATTTTGATTCTAAAAATAGATTTTAGGAAAAGTGAAAGTGTTTACATTTTGTAACAATGCCGCCGAAATGAAAAGATAAGCCACAGCCATCAACTTCAACGCATAAAGTTGGTGCAAGAGATGAAGCAAAAGACCGAAATATCAACAAAAGAAGTAGAATGACTGCATCTCAGGCAATACAACTACTTATTGATTCTGATGAATAAAATAACATTCCTGGTCTATATTGTGATGTTAGTGACGTTGAATTTGAGACTGAACACAGTGGCATTGAAATTGACAATGACAATGAAACTGTTCAAGTACGTTCTGATGCACGTGGTGCTGTAAAACTTCAGTCTCCTTGTGGATAATAATTATTTTCAAAAGTTATAGGCAAAGTTAGAAGCAGAGAAGTGAAAATTGGTTTGGCCCTGGGAGCTCAGGAAATGGGAGAAACTAGGCCAGGGAGGCCAGGGCTCAAAGGGTTAAATTATAGAATTATTTTTAAAAAGCTAAAAATCAGATTGAAAACAAGTGCAGGTTAATGCGTTTATTTCCCTTTCCTTGTTTACATGCAATAGGTGAATAGACTCATAATAAATACACTTTTTGGCATTTGTAGTTTAATTGTATATTAAATTTTGCTTTTAATAAAATGTATGGAGCAAAATATCGTAAAATTAAAATCATGACTATCGTGCTAATTTCTAGATCTAGAATCTATTATCAATTCTATACTAGTTAAATCTCAACTCTTAACAATTACATGCGCTTCAGCTATTGTTGTTCACATGGCCTTGTACATAGCAAGGTAGGAATCATCCAAAAAAAAAAGGATTGCATCAACTTCTGTTAAATCAAATCAATAATAAAGTGTTAAATTTATGGTCTTGTTTTGAGGGGTTCTTAAGGCTATTGGTTACCCTAGGTTTTTAAAATAAAATATAAGTTGACATTAATCATCAATAATTAGCCTAGAGACTAGCTATATAAAACTATAGGCCTACTATAGTACTATACGTATGGGTGTATTTATTGTACATAAGACTTATTTTATTATTTATGTTTCGTTTAGCATCTACGGGTATGTTTCTCTTTTTGGCTTTGAATTCCTCTTTTTTGGTATGACAGTTCCTACTTTTGATCGCCAGGGGTAGACATGTCTGGACTTGAAAATGTAGCACTTTCTACCACTTTATTTTCTAGAAATCCTTTATTGATGAGGTAAAGAAAGCCATCTCCAACCATCACAGCAGTAATAAGCAGCTGACAGAGGGGGCAGCAGTGACATGTGTCAGGCTGTGTAAAGCATCATCCTACATCCCCATCAATGACAGGCTCAATGTGGTCTTTACACTTGTACAGTCTGTCATCACTGACTTGAAGGTAAATCTCTAACTCATTTTAGGCTGTCATGGCCTTATTTATGGGGGGGGGGGGGGTGTTGTATTGACTGTTCCACTGCTAGCAGTGTAGTGCTATTTTAGCTATATATTCATTAACCAATCTCTGAGGGCCTCTCTTTATTTGACTGATTGATTCTTGCTGCTCATATTAATAATTGCCTCCCATGCTATTGTATCTCTGCAGACCCTACTGTTTAACCCTTTAGCCAACAGTAAACCCTTCTCCAAAAGCCCAGGACTTGGTTCTCAAGATTATGATTTGTACATAGACTGTTTTGTCAGTTGTTTCCGCATCACGCCTCACAACAATGATGTGCTCAAGGTCTGCTTGAACCCTTCTTCACCTCCCATGTACCATTATGTTCTAGTTAATGCTCTTCATAGAATCATCACACAGGTCAGTAAAACATTTTTCTTCATTCAGCAATAATCTCCCTTCAATAGCCCTAGTTTGGCTGTTGTTTATTATAAAGTTTGTGTTACAAAAGTTTGAATAAAAAAGTTTTCAAATTGTGCTCTGTTATCTAATCATGTTATCATAGCCCTTAAGTAAGGTTTTCTCTGCTGATTGACTGAGTTGGGTGTGATACATGCAGTCTGATACTTTGTTATAGCCTCGTCTTGGCTGGTGGCCCCATATTAGCTTGATCTACAGTAAGGCAGGGGAGCTGAGGAACATGTTTAGTGACACTGTTACCAAGGTGACCCAAGGCTTCAGCAGCCACAGCTGTCCTAAGGTAATAATCATAGGTGACTTGTGAGAGGTATTCATTGTAGTTGACCTGCTGGTGTCTGGGTAGAAACTTGGTCTGGTGTCTGGGTAGAAACTTGGTCTGGTGTCTGGGTAGAAACTTGGTCTGGTGTCTGGGTAGAAACTTGGTCTGGTGTCTGGGTAGAAACTTGGTCTGGTGTCTGGGTAGAAACTTGGTCTGGTGTCTGGGTAGAAACTTGGTCTGGTGTCTGGGTAGAAACCTGGTCTGGTGTCTGGGTAGAAACTTGGTCTGGTGTCTGGGTAGAAACCTGGTCTGGTGTCTGGGTAGAAACTTGGTCTGGTGTCTGGGTAGAAACTTGGTCTGGTGTCTGGGTAGAAACTTGGTCTGGTGTCTGGGTAGAAACTTGGTCTGGTGTCTGGGTAGAAACTTGGTCTGGTGTCTGGGTAGAAACTTGGTCTGGTGTCTGGGTAGAAACTTGGTCTGGTGTCTGGGTAGAAACTTGGTCTGGTGTCTGGGTAGAAACTTGGTCTGGTGTCTGGGTAGAAACTTGGTCTGGTGTCTGGGTAGAAACTTGGTCTGGTGTCTGGGTAGAAACATGGTCTGGTGTCTGGGTAGAAACTTGGTCTGGTGTCTGGGTAGAAACATGGTCTGGTGTCTGGGTACATTGAATGAATTGAACAGTTTTTGTTACAGCAGACGGTCAAGCTGACAGCCACATTCAAGCTGAACAAAACAACAGATGAGGCTCTCTCTTCCTACAAATACATTCTCTTGTGGCTAGTCAAGCTCATCCATGCTGACCCACACCTAATGCTTCATGTGAGTTTCCAACATTTAACTTCATCATCGTAATCTTTCGTTTGTTAACAAAATGAATCTTTTGCTGCTACTGCTTGTCTACTAATTTAATTAAACCCGTATTTCAACTCTCTCGTGTCCAACCTCACACAATATATTTTCTCTGTTCCCATACCATTAGTATGAATTTCAAGCAGGGTTCAAGTACTTTTTTTTAACCCCACATGGCAAATCATATATGGGCATGTAGCAACTGACTGTTAAATTATAAGTGGGCTGATGTTTAATAGATAAAAACACTAAGTTGGGGCTGTGAATGTTTTTACATTCTTTTTGAAATGTAGAACCAAGGCAAACAGGGCCATGAAATACAGCACAGCACATTGGATTTGATCACCAGCCTTGTCTCACTGGTACACCAGCAATGGATGCCGGATGTAGCACAGAAAGCCATGGAGGTGAGCAAAATATCACATCTTGGATAGTCTTCGTTCTCATCCTATACTGAACTCTGTCTGGTATGACATTTTTGTAATGTTGCTTGCTAGAGTCAAGTGTACAATTCAGCTTGTTTGTATTGAAGTGCTAGAACCACCGCTCTAGTTTAATGTTACCCAAACTTTCAGGCTCTCCTGTGCCTGCACCAGCCAGAGAATATTGAACTGTGGAACCCTGAGGCTCCCATCAACACTTTCTGGGACATAAGGTTTGATTTAATACACACACACAGTCATTGGTCATTGGGTCAGCTCTTACACACAGTCGCTGGGTGGGTCAGCTCTTACACATGGTCACTGGGTGGGCCAGCTCTTTGGTCACTGGGTGGGTCAGCTCTTTGGTCACTGGGTGGGTCAGCTCTTACACATGGTCACTGGGTGGGCCAGCTCTTACACACAGTCACTGGGTGGGCCAGCTCTTTGGTCACTGGGTGGGTCAGCTCTTTGGTCACTGGGTGGGTCAGCTCTTACACATGGTCACTGGGTGGGCCAGCTCTTTGGTCACTGGGTGGGCCAGCTCTTTGGTCACTGGGTGGGTCAGCTCTTTGGTCACTGGGTGGGTCAGCTCTTACACACAGTCGCTGGGTGGGCCAGCTCTTACACATGGTCACTGGGTGGGCCAGCTCTTTGGTCACTGGGTGGGCCAGCTCTTTGGTCACTGGGTGGGCCAGCTCTTTGGTCACTGGGTGGGCCAGCTCTTTGGTCACTGGGTGGGCCAGCTCTTACACATGGTCACTGGGTGGGCCAGCTCTTTGGTCACTGGGTGGGCCAGCTCTTTGGTCACTGGGTGGGCCAGCTCTTTGGTCACTGGGTGGGCCAGCTCTTACACATGGTCACTGGGTGGGCCAGCTCTTACACATGGTCACTGGGTGGGCCAGCTCTTTGGTCACTGGGTGGGCCAGCTCTTTGGTCACTGGGTGGGCCAGCTCTTTGGTCACTGGGTGGGCCAGCTCTTTGGTCACTGGGTGGGCTAGCTCTTTGGTCACTGGGTGGGCCAGCTCTTTGGTCACTGGGTGGGTCAGCGCTTTGGTCACTGGGTGGGTCAGCTCTTACACATGGTCACTGGGTGGGCCAGCTCTTACACATGGTCACTGGGTGGGCTAGTTCTTGTTCAGTACTTGGTGGGTTAGCTAATAATTGACACAATGGACCATGTTTCTGTCACTATTACATGCCCACATATTAAGTAATATAACTACTGTAAATTTTACTTGACAGCTCGCAAGTTTTATTCTACATCTCCCAGCGCTTGATTCAGCATCAGATTGTCAACTATACTGAAATTCTAAAGTGGCTAAGAGAAATTCTGGTTTACAGAAACAGGTTTTTACAGAAGCATAGTGCCAATGCTAACATGGGAAGTAACATTCCTGTTTGCAGACAAGCCCATATTAAACTAGAGGTACAATTCATGACCCACCTTATTCATTATTCAGTCAAAGCTTGTTTTTAGTTCAATGATTGGTTAATAGCAAAAAACTGGACATAGTGATAGCTCAATAGCAAAAAACTGGACATAGTGATAGCTCAATAGCAAAAAACCGGACATAGTGATAGCTCAATAGCAAAAAACTGGACATAGTGATAGCTCAATAGCAAAAAACTGGACATAGTGATAGCTCAATAGCAAAAAACTGGACATAGTGATAGCTCAATAGCAAAAAACTGGACATAGTGATAGCTCAATAGCAAAAAACAATATAAAAAAGGAAATTGTAATGTATCTTCCTCACTATGATGTTTACTTTTCATCAGGTTGTATTTTTCATGTACTTATGGAGTATTGAGATTGATGCAGTCCTCACCTCTATGTCTTGTTTTCGCCTTCTCTGTGAGGAGGCTGACATTCGCTGCGGGGCAGACGAACTGGCAGTGACTCAGTTATTGCCTAACTACTCAGTGTATGCAGAGCTGGCTGCCGCTAGCACTGTACTGACAACAGGTTGGTATTTAAGCTTCTGGCTTCATTGTCCGCTTCTCATACTTAAAAAAATAATGCCTTATGTACATTTTAGGCCTCAAGTTACAAAGCACGTTTTTTTGCAGGGAGAGCAGCACTGCAGAAAAGAATAATGGCTCTGCTTAGGAAGATTGACCAGTCAACACAAGGAAATTGGCAGGTAAGGCTCATACCTCAAAGTAAGCCTAAGTTAAAGTTCTAAACTGATGCATTTCATTTTCTATTTAACCATTTACCGGCCCGGGCATCAAAACTATTTTACTTCCCCTACGGCCTGGTGAAAAGCCAACATATTTTTCAACCACTTATTTTAAAAATAACCCCTTTACGTTACAAAAAATAAAATAAAAAGGAATATACACAAAACTGATGCTAGTTTATTATGCATGAGGCATGAGATTAAATAGTTTAATAATTTACAAATAATTAATAAAATAACACTAATCCTAGAAAAACTTAACATCTTCTAATTTTATTTCTATAATTTTTACTTTCTCGTATATACAAAGTATAGAGAAAGTATTGTAATCGTGCAAAAAAAAAAAAATCGAGATTTTTACAAATCTCGACTTTTTACTCCTCACTGATACGGAAAAACATAATTTTGCAATCTTGTCCGTATGTCTGTGTGTCTGTCTGTGTGTAAACACGATAACTTGAGTACCGTTACAGCTAGGTTGATGAAATTTCATATATAAGTATTTTATCAAAATCGTAGATCCTGATCAACTTTTGAGGGGTTTACCGATAACTAGATGTGGTACTTTTTTCTACTTTGAATTTTTCAAAAGCCTATAACTTGAGTACTATTTCAGATAGATAAATGAAATTTCACATGTAAGTAAGAGATCTAATTCTCTATCTTCTATCAAATTTTGAGTAATTTCCGTTGACCGGAAGTACTAATTTACGCTATTTGCGATTTCTCAAAAAACGCATGTAAATTTATAAAGTACTAATAATATTGCGCACTATTATGCACATTTTGTTTTGGCGTTCGCTTGGTGCGCAATTCTTTTTTCTATGAGATTCTATTCTATTTTTAAAAGTTTAAGTTATTAAAAAATCATGTCTATATTCCAAGTTATATAAGAATATTCGAGAAAGTTTAGGGGAGATAACTCCCGGTTTATTTTATTTTAAAGGCAAAAAAAAAACTTCAACGTAGTCACTGGAGCTCCTTTCTTTTTCAATAGTTACATTATAAATTAATCCAGATGCAACTGCTGAGGCATTTTAATTAGATTTAATTTCAATAATTATATTGCCTGTAATTTTTAGAAAAAAAAATCTTAACTTCAGAAAAATCGTAGAAAATGGACCACTAGTGATAGAACAACGACAAAACAATGTTAATAAACTTCTTAATTCTGCTTCTGCCAGTATCTTCAAAATCTCGTTAACAACAAGACTTCTGCTTCTACGCATAAATAAGCATACTATACGTTGTAGGTCGACCGCAGGCGCACCGGACTGTACCACTAAAAAATCTTTTGGGCGACCGTGGGCACGTAGGTCTGTAAAGGGTTAAAATGAAAACAAAAATAAAAAACTTCATGAATTATTGATTAATTTATGGAGGAAACCTGTTTCTCTTGTCTTTTTAAAGTGTTTTCTGCCCTAAAATTGTTGAATATTTTCTTCATATTTTTGTGTCCACTTAGGCCTGGGAAGATACATTCAGAAATTGGGATGCTGTGACAAGATACCTCGAATCTTACCCCAAATTAAAGCTTGAAGAAGGCAGAGAACTTACTGATGTCATGAGAATAACAAAGCGCAAAACACCTCATTCTAATACTGAACATGAGCTGGAGGTATTTTACCATGCTAACTTACCGCTTAGTCATATTGCCAGTTAAAATGATTCAGATTTTTGCTAGTTTTCATACAAATATACATCTTGAAAATATAAAATGACTGCATTAATTGAACTTTGTGAAAACATTTTTTTACCATTATGTGAAAAAACAAAACTATGTTCTTTGTAACCTTCTAAAATATTTTGACTTTAAAAATTAAAGAAGGTTGAAAAACTAGATATTGTAATCCACCTTTGACATCCAAAGTAGTACTGTTATGACTCTTGAGGTTGTATTGAGAAACAGTATTGCTCTTTCCTCGAATGGCAGGACCAGTTGAATGAGTGGGCCAACATGACAGGATTTCTCTGTGCACTAGGTGGTGTTCGTCTTTCTAATAAGTCACAGAGGGTTGGGTAAGTTATGCTTGTTGTATATGGCCTGGGTTGGGTAAGTTTTACTTGTTTTCTATGGCCAGGGTTGGGTAAGTTTTACTTGTTTTCTATGGCCTGGGTTGGGTAAGTTTTACTTGTTTTGTATGGCCAGGGTTGGGTAAGTTATGCTTGTTGTATATGGACAGGGTTGGGTAAGTTTTACTTGTTTTCAATGGCCAGGGTTGGGTAAGTTTTACTTGTTTTCTATGGCCTGGGTTGGGTAAGTTTTACTTGTTTTGTATGGGCAGGGTTGGGTAAGTTTTACTTGTTTTGTATGGGCAGGGTTGGGTAAGTTTTGCTTGTTTTGTATGGCCAGGGTTGGGTAAGTTTTACTTGTTTTGTATGGCCAGGGTTGGGTAAGTTTTACTTGTTTTGTATGGCCAGGATTGGGTAAGTTTTACTTGTTTTCTATGGCCTGGGTTGGGTAAGTTTTACTTGTTTTGTATGGCCAGGGTTGGGTAAGTTATGCTTGTTGTATATGGACAGGGTTGGGTAAGTTTTACTTGTTTTCAATGGCCAGGGTTGGGTAAGTTTTACTTGTTTTCTATGGCCTGGGTTGGGTAAGTTTTACTTGTTTTGTATGGGCAGGGTTGGGTAAGTTTTACTTGTTTTGTATGGGCAGGGTTGGGTAAGTTTTGCTTGTTTTGTATGGCCAGGGTTGGGTAAGTTTTACTTGTTTTGTATGGCCAGGGTTGGGTAAGTTTTACTTGTTTTGTATGGCCAGGATTGGGTAAGTTTTACTTGTTTTGTATGGCCAGGATTGGGTAATTTTTGCTTGTTTTGTATGGCCAGGATTGGGTAAGTTTTACTTGTTTTGTATGGCCAGGATTGGGTAAGTTTTACTTGTTTTGTATGGCCAGGTTTGGGTAAGTTTTACTTGTTTTGTAAATGACCAGGGTTGGGTAAGTTTTACTTGTTTTGTATGGGCAGGGTTGGGTAAGTTTTGCTTGTTTTGTATGGCCAGGATTGGGTAAGTTTTACTTGTTTTGTATGGCCAGGTTTGGGTAAGTTTTACTTGTTTTGTAAATGACCAGGGTTGGGTAAGTTTTACTTGTTTTGTATGGGCAGGGTTGGGTAAGTTTTGCTTGTTTTGTATGGCCAGGTTTGGGTAAGTTTTACTTGTTTTGTAAATGACCAGGGTTGGGTAAGTTTTACTTGTTTTGTATGGCCAGGATTGGGTAAGTTTTGCTTGTTTTGTATGGCCAGGGTTGGGTAAGTTTTGCTTGTTTTGTATGGCCAGGGTTGGGTAAGTTTTGCTTGTTTTGTATGGCCAGGGTTGGGTAAGTTTTACTTGTTTTGTATGGGCAGGGTTGGGTAAGTTTTACTTGTTTGGTATGGCCAGGGTTGGGTAAGTTTTACTTGTTTTGTATGGCCAGGGTTGGAGCATATTTTTTGAATTTATAATTACAAAAAAGTGAAAAATAAAACATTCATTAAAACTTAAAAAATAACAAGCTCAAAAAAATGCACAAATCAAAATAAAATTGCAATCTTGTTATTGTTAAGGTTTTTAAGCATGTTTTATTTTCCTTCTATAAGTTCACCAATGCAGGGACAGTTTGCAATTTGTTTTTAACTTGAAGTAATTTTTATCTCCCTAAAGGAGCACCATGTCCTTATCAGGACTTGCTATTGAGGGCAATAGGAAAAGCAGTCTGATGACTAGCTGTGCTAATGACGTCCAGTACTGCCCTGTTACCCAGTAAGGTTTTGCTTTATCAGCTGTTATCAGGAGATAAATTAAGAACCTTTTAGATGCAATGATTTTCTTGCAATTAAAAACTTGAATTTGAACAGGTTTTTAGGCAATCTTCTGAAGCTTTTGGTGTTCCAGAATGAAAGGTTTGGTGCCCAGATCCAGAAACATGTGAAGGAGTTGGTTGGGCATGAGCTGAATCCAGCTTTGTATCCTATATTGTTTGACCAGATTAAGATCTGTGTGGACAAGTACTTTGACCCTGCTGGACAGGTAAATATACAGCTCTCATAAAACATACCAAACGTATCTGCTCAAGTAATCATGAGACTTAACAAAATCAGTAATCATTAAATTGGTCAATATAATCAGTATCATAAAACTTGTCAATAAAATCAGTATTATTAAACTTGTCAATAAAAATCAGTATCATTAAACTTGTCAATAAAATCAATATCATTAAACTTGTCAATAAAATCAATATTATTAAACTTGTCAATAAAAATCAGTATTATTAAACTTGTCAATAAAATCAATATTATTAAACTTGTCAATAAAAATCAGTATCATTAAACTTGTCAATAAAAATCAGTATCATTAAACTTGTCAATAAAATCAATATCATTAAACTTGTCAATAAAATCAATATTATTAAACTTGTCAATAAAAATCAGTATTATTAAACTTGTCAATAAAATCAATATTATTAAACTTGTCAATAAAAATCAGTATCATTAAACTTGTCAATAAAATCAGTATCATTAAACTTGTCAATAAAATCAGTATCATTAAACTTGTCAAAAAAAATCAGTATTATTAAACTTGTTATTTGTAAATCATTTTAGAAGCTAATAAATTCAACTTTTCACCTTTGTTACTTATTAACCTGTAATGGATGTAAATGCTTTTAAAATAATATGGTTGAAAAATGTCATATAAATTTTACAAGGCTCTGGGGGTAAGGAAAAAGTTTGTAATGCCCAGACAGTTAAGGGTTAAATTACAAATTTTAAAAATTTTTCAAGTCATGTGTGGAACACTCCATACATTTCTTAAATGTTTTTTAATTTCATTATCTTAACTGTTAGCAATCTCATTGGTTCTTTTATAAACACATTGTCTATATAACCACTGTACTAATAGAAAGCCACTTTTGTTGTAGGTAATGGACTCGCCACAAAACACACTGTTGATAGAAAATGTGATATTCATAATGAAGAACATCCTGGAGATGAAACAAGATCAGCCCTGTGAATTTTTAGGTGTCACCAGCATAGAGCAACTGATGCTGTCAATTGTCAAGTATGTGAGCCATTTCTAGTCTCTCTTTTTTCTTCTATCCTTTGTGTTTAAATTGTCTCTGTATCCTGGTGACAAATTTGTGTCTCCCCAGATATGTCAGGTACCTGGACTCATCCGTTCATGCCATACAAATTAAAACTAAGCTGTGCCAGCTGGTGGAGGCTGTAAGTATTTTTTTCTCTATATGGTAACTTTTTCACCACTGTATTAGCTAATAATATCTTGAGATTTCTTTTAGTTAGCTGCTCATGTTTGGGGGCTAAGGGAAAAGTTAAGCTAATAAACAAAAACTTGCTTCCCATCAGACTGGCTTATCCATTCTCTATTGAATCTCAATATAAAATGTAAGTTTCTTTAAGTTTCTTTTATGGCATTGTAAAAATGGCAGCACTATCAGATTTTTCCATTCATTCTTCTCGATATATCAGCTTGTATCTTATCTACTAGCTGTCCCGGCCAGGCCATGCACTGTGAAAAAGTCTGTGGCTTGTGTGTTTATTATTATTAAGCAGCAACGGGTTTTGGAAATACATATATTACGTTTCCAAAAATGTCTATATGCAAATATTTTGAGAAAATATATATAATCTTAAAGCTAACTCTAAACCAGGCGGAACCACAACCACCAACATTTGAACATTAACAGGAGCAGAAACAGAAACATTAACATACACCCTAACTGTTACCCCTCACCACAACCTCAACCTGAAACATAGAAATAAGTCTTTGGCGCTAACGGGAAAAGATAATATTTTTAAAAAATCTATACTTGTTTGAGAAATATATTTTATAATAGTAATTGATCAGTACGCAATGTGCTTACTACATGTTGAAGGATATTAGTGATAAAGCAAAGAAATAACTAAATAGCTAAAAGTCAGACTCATGGGCTTCCCATAGCTATTAGAAAAATTAAAACCAAAATATATACATTATAAGTCAACACAACAACACATTAAATGCCAACACTGATTAAATGACTTTAATGATTCAATTAAGCCCGTAATTATTTTCACGCTTTGCTAGAATTATTTTTTTCACTCAATTTTGTTCAATATCCCTTTGGCAAAACGGCTCATATCTTTTTACCTGTTGATTTAAAACACACATTAATGATGTAAATTAATTGTAATTAAATGTCCTACACACTAATATACATTAGTAATTATTTATTTTTGAAGAAAGATAATTACTTAGTTTTAAAGAAGAAAAAATTGAGTTGATTTTTTTTCAGGCAAAAAATACGCTTCTGAAGGGAAAATTAATGATAAGAATTATTTTTCATTAGTTTGGGTTCATTGAAAACAAAAGTACGTCCATTTTTCTACAAAAATCATGGATCGGATAAGTATTAATATAAATACTGTAATTTTGGATAATTTTGCTAGTGGTGTTTTACAAAACAAAAAACTTCCCTAAAATTACAAAATCAACCCAACAAGAAAACTACAAGAAGTAAATACAACAAAAATGGCAGCTTTAGCAATATCATGACATAGATTTACAATTAAAAGCTTGGCCTACAAAAAACAACAAATGAAATAGAGAAAATTTAATTGGCCACTGTGAGTGTCATTACAGCTTGGCAGGCCGGCCTGTCAACTGCTGGGAGTGTCATTATGGTCTTAATGAGTTAAAAACCCAGCTATTCAAAGTTTTTTTTCTATTTTTTGTACTGATTTATTATTACTATTTTGGGCCAATACAATTTTAAAAATTTAATGGCATACGTCTTGATAAGTGGATTTAAATTAAATTGTAATGAAATAGTTCACTTTTTCATATTATAAAATTGGAAGATGTAGGAAGTGAATCTTATTGAAGACTTCTGCATAAGTATTGTATTCTATTTTTTATCCTACAATCAATGACATCATTAGTGTTGAGCACTTTTTAGTAATTTAAACTTTTTATTAACGTGTCACTGTCTTGGCCAGTGATAGTTTTTGTGTTACTTATATGTTCTCTAGAGTGTTCTTGTCTTGGCCAGTGATAGTTTTTGTGTTACTTATATGTTCTCTAGAGTGTTCTTGTCTTGGCCAGTGATAGTTTTTGTGTTACTTATATGTTCTCTAGAGTCTTCTTGTCTTGGCCAGTGATAGTTTTTGTGTTACTTATATGTTCTCTAGAGTGTTCTTGTCTTGGCCAGTGATAGTTTTTGTGTTACTTATATGTTCTCTAGAGTGTTCTTGTCTTGGCCAGTGATAGTTTTTGTGTTACTTATATGTTCTCTAGAGTGTTCTTGTCATAAACATAAAGAAACAACACAAATACAGACACAACCATAAACCCACAGTTCTCTGCTTTCATAATTATAGCTGTTATTTTTATTTCTGTCTGTCTTTGAATAAAATTGAGTTTATATATTTAGTACATCCAACTTAATTGTTTCAACATCAGTCAGTATCTCTAAGTTCTCCACATATTTCTGAAGCTACTGATCTCATAGCCTCAGAAAATATGTGGGAGACAGAGAGAGACAGGTGCGCACATGAGCTTATATAGCAGTTGTGCAGTTGATAACTAATTTGATGTTTCAATGTTGTTGACTAGATATACCAATGTTGTTGACTAGATGATGCAGCACAGAGATGAATTAACATTCCGTCAAGAGATGAAGTTTCGCAACAAACTGGTAGAATATTTAACAGATTGGATTATGGGTAATTCACATCAAGTGAATGTTCAGGGTGACATCTGTAGCATGTCAAGGTATGCTATCTAGTCTAATGCTATATTTACTTTTCTAGTCTAGTGCTATAGTTAGTTTGGTAGTCCAGTGCTACAGTAAGTTTGCTAGTCCAGTGCTATAGTTTGCTAGTCTAGTGCTACAGTAAGTTTGCTAGTCTAGTGCTACAGTAAGTTTGGTAGTCTAGTGCTACAGTAAGTTTGGTAGTCTAGTGCTACAGTAAGTTTGGTAGTCTAGTGCTACAGTAAGTTTGCTAGTCCAGTGCTATAGTTTGCTAGTCCAGTGCTATAGTTTGCTAGTCTAGTGCTATAGTTTGCTAGTCCAGTGCTATAGTTTGCTAGTCCAGTGCTATAGTTTGCTAGTCTAGTGCTATAGTTTGCTAGTCCAGTGCTATAGTTTGCTAGTCCAGTGCTATAGTTTGCTAGTCCAGTGCTATAGTTTGCTAGTCCAGTGCTATAGTTTGCTAGTCTAAACTAAGCATGTGTATTACATGTGTTGTGTGTTTAGGGATCTGGACCAAGCCAGCATGGAAGCTGTGGCTGCTCTGTTGGCTGGACTACCCCTACAGCCAGAGGAAAGTGACAGGGGGGATCTCATGGAGGCCAAGTCACAGCTCTTTCTCAAGTAACCTAATGTCATACACACATCTTTCTCAAGTAACTCACACCTTATGTCATACACGCATCTTTCTCAAGTAACTCACACCTTATGTCATACACACATCTTTCTCAAGTAACTGACACCTTATGTCATACACACAACTTTCTCAAGTAACCCACACCTTATGTCATACACACATCTTTCTCAAGTAACTTACACCTTATGTCATACACACATCTTTCTCAAGTAACCTTATGTCATACACACATCTTTCTCAAGTAACCCACACCTTATGTCATACACACATCTTTCTCAAGTAACTCACACCTTATGTCATACACACATCTTTCTCAAGTAACTCACACCTTATGTCATACACACATCTTTCTCAAGTAACCCACACCTTATGTCATACACACATCTTTCTCAAGTAACTGACACCTTATGTCATACACACATCTTTCTCAAGTAACTCACACCTTATGTCATACACACATCTTTCTCAAGTAACCCACACCTTATGTCATACACACATCTTTCTCAAGTAACTCACACCTTATGTCATACACACATCTTTCTGAAGTAACTCACACCTTATGTCATACACACATCTTTCTCAAGTAACTGACACCTTATGTCATACACGCATCTTTCTCAACTCACACCTTATGTCATACACACACCTCAAGTAACTCACACCTTATGTCATACACACATCTTTCTCAAGTAACTCACACCTTATGTCATACACACATCTTTCTCAAGTAACTCACACCTTATGTCATACACGCATCTTTCTCAAGTAACTCTTACCTTATGTCATACACACATCTTTCTCAAGTAACTCACACCTTATGTCATACACACATCTTTCTCAAGTAACTCACACCTTATGTCATACACACATCTTTCTCAAGTAACTGACACCTTATGTCATACACACATCTTTCTCAAGTAACTCACACCTTATGTCATACACACATCTTTCTCAAGTAACTCACACCTTATGTCATACACACATCTTTCTCAAGTAACTCACACCTTATGTCATACACACATCTTTCTCAAGTAACTCACACCTTATGTCATACACACATCTTTCTCAAGTAACTCTTACCTTATGTCATACACACATCTTTCTCAAGTAACTCACACCTTATGTCATACACACATCTTTCTCAAGTAACTCACACCTTATGTCATACACACATCTTTCTCAAGTAACTCACACCTTATGTCATACACACATCTTGATGTTTACAGAAAGCACCAAACTCCATACGTCCACCATGAAATTATAGGTGTTTGATTTTTGTTTCTTTAGATACCTGACTTTGTTTATGAATCTGCTCAATGACTGCTCAGATGAAGAGCAGGACAAAGCCCTTGACCCCAACAGAAAGCGTAGCATGAGCAATTTGAGTGCCCTCAGGAACTGCACTGTACAAGCCATGTCCAATCTACTCAATGCCAACATTGATAGTGGCTTAATGCATTCCATAGGTCCGTGTTCTTTTATTGTTTCTTTTATCTAAGTTAGTGTGTCCTAGTGTCTAGTCCATCTTGTTAATGTCATAGTGTCTAGTCCATCTTGTTAATGTCATAGTGTCTAGTCCATCTTGTTAATGTCATAGTGTCTAGTTTGTCTTGTTTATGTCATAGTGTCTAGTTTGTCTTATTTGTGTCCTAGTGTCTAGTCCATCTTGTTAATGTCATAGTGTCTAGTTTGTCTTGTTTATGTCATAGTGTCTAGTCCATCTTGTTTGTGTCCTAGTGTCTAGTTTGTCTTGTTTGTGTCCTAGTGTCTAGTTTGTCTTGTTTATGTCATAGTGTCTAGTCCATCTTGTTTATGTCATAGTGTCTAGTTTGTCTTGTTAATGTCATAGTGTCTAGTTTGTCTTGTTTGTGTCCTAGTGTCTAGTTTGTCTTGTTTATGTCATAGTGTCTAGTCCATCTTGTTAATGTCATAGTGTCTAGTCCATCTTGTTAATGTCATAGTGTCTAGTCCATCTTAATGTCATAGTGTCTAGTTTGTCTTGTTTGTGTCCTAGTGTCTAGTCCATCTTGTTTATGTCATAGTGTCTAGTTTGTCTTGTTTATGTCATAGTGTCTAGTCCATCTTGTTAATGTCATAGTGTCTAGTCCATCTTGTTAATGTCATAGTGTCTAGTTTGTCTTGTTTGTGTCCTAGTGTCTAGTCCATCTTGTTAATGTCATAGTGTCTAGTTTGTCTTGTTTGTGTCCTAGTGTCTAGTCCATCTTGTTAATGTCATAGTGTCTAGTCCATCTTGTTAATGTCATAGTGTCTAGTCCATCTTGTTAATGTCATAGTGTCTAGTCCATCTTGTTAATGTCATAGTGTCTAGTTTGTCTTGTTTGTGTCCTAGTGTCTAGTCCATCTTGTTTATGTCATAGTGTCTAGTCCATCTTGTTAATGTCATAGTGTCTAGTCCATCTTGTTTATGTCATAGTGTCTAGTCCATCTTGTTAATGTCATAGTGTCTAGTCCATCTTGTTTATGTCATAGTGTCTAGTTTGTCTTGTTTGTGTCCTAGTGTCTAGTCCATCTTGTTAATGTCATAGTGTCTAGTCCATCTTGTTAATGTCATAGTGTCTAGTCCATCTTGTTAATGTCATAGTGTCTAGTTTGTCTTGTTTGTGTCCTAGTGTCTAGTTTGTCTTGTTAATGTCATAGTGTCTAGTCCATCTTGTTAATGTCATAGTGTCTAGTCCATCTTGTTAATGTCATAGTGTCTAGTTTGTCTTGTTTGTGTCCTAGTGTCTAGTCCATCTTGTTAATGTCATAGTGTCTAGTCCATCTTGTTTATGTCATAGTGTCTAGTCCATCTTGTTTATGTCATAGTGTCTAGTCCATCTTGTTAATGTCATAGTGTCTAGTTTGTCTTGTTTGTGTCCTAGTGTCTAGTCCATCTTGTTAATGTCATAGTGTCTAGTTTGTCTTGTTTGTGTCCTAGTGTCTAGTCCATCTTGTTAATGTCATAGTGTCTAGTCCATCTTGTTTATGTCATAGTGTCTAGTCCATCTTGTTAATGTCATAGTGTCTAGTCCATCTTGTTAATGTCATAGTGTCTAGTCCATCTTGTTAATGTCATAGTGTCTAGTTTGTCTTGTTTATGTCCTAGTGTCTAGTCCATCTTGTTTATGTCATAGTGTCTAGTTTGTCTTGTTTATGTCATAGTGTCTAGTCCATCTTGTTTATGTCATAGTGTCTAGTCCATCTTGTTAATGTCATAGTGTCTAGTCCATCTTGTTAATGTCATAGTGTCTAGTCCATCTTGTTAATGTCATAGTGTCTAGTCCATCTTGTTAATGTCATAGTGTCTAGTCCATCTTGTTAATGTCATAGTGTCTAGTTTGTCTTGTTTGTGTCCTAGTGTCTAGTTTGTCTTGTTTATGTCATAGTGTCTAGTTTGTCTTGTTTGTGTCCTAGTGTCTAGTTTGTCTTGTTTATGTCATAGTGTCTAGTTTGTCTTGTTTGTGTCCTAGTGTCTAGTTTGTCTTGTTTATGTCATAGTGTCTAGTTTGTCTTGTTTGTGTCCTAGTGTCTAGTTTGTCTTGTTTATGTCATAGTGTCTAGTTTGTCTTGTTTATGTCATAGTGTCTAGTTTGTCTTGTTTGTGTCCTAGTGTCTAGTCCATCTTGTTAATGTCATAGTGTCTAGTCCATCTTGTTAATGTCATAGTGTCTAGTTTGTCTTGTTTGTGTCCTAGTGTCTAGTCCATCTTGTTAATGTCATAGTGTCTAGTTTGTCTTGTTTATGTCATAGTGTCTAGTTTGTCTTGTTTATGTCATAGTGTCTAGTTTGTCTTGTTTGTGTCCTAGTGTCTAGTTTGTCTTGTGTCCTAGTGTCTAGTTTGTCTTGTTAATGTCATAGTGTCTAGTTTGTCTTGTTTGTGTCCTAGTGTCTAGTCCATCTTGTTTATGTCATAGTGTCTAGTTTGTCTTGTTTGGTGCCTTATGTGATTTTTATTATCTTCAGCTCTTGGCTATCACAAGGACCCTCAGACTAGGGCAGCTTTCATGGAAGTATTGACCAAAATTCTGCAACAGGGCACAGAATTTGAGACCTTAGCTGAAACTGCATTAGCTGACCGCTTTGAACGCCTGGTGGAGCTTGTTACAATGATTGGTGACAAAGGAGAGTTGCCCATTGCAATGGCTCTGGCTACTGTTGTCTCAAACTCACAGATGGATGAACTGGCTCGGGTATTTGTCAACCTGTTTGATGCCAAGAGGTTACTTTACCAACTTTTATGGAACATGTTCTCAAAGGTATGCACTTAGTTCCCATCAAGCTGGTAAACTGTGAAAAAGCCGGGAATTCTAAAAAAATTTCCCAGGAAATCCAAAGAAAAGTTTGAAAATTTTCATTAAAGCCAGGAATTTTTTCCCCAAATGCAGTGAGATTTGGACTAGGGATAAGATTAGCCTAACCTACTATTGACAGTTCTAGTGGTGCACAAACTATAAAAAGGAAAAGTCCTTCATCTGTGATTTTCAATTGTTTCTATACAGCTTCTGATTCTTTAGGGGTGCCACTTATTGTGATCATCACTTTACGGGTTCACAAAATTTGAGTTAAAAAACTAGATGGTTTGCACTTTCTAAACAAAAGACAGTTTTAACATTCTAGAAATGGTTTTTATTACCAAGACTCCGGAACCATTTACTCTCTGCCAACCCAGCATGCTTAGTCTAGAGGTAGTCTATATCCATCTCTATTTATCTCTAGATCTAGTCTCTATTCAGGAGAGCTCTTTTAGTAGGCAATTTCTCAACAAGCCTGTAATACCTAACTTAGCGAGTAAACTTAATTTTTTTAAAAACACGAAATTTGCTAATGCCTTGTGTTTCATTGTAGTCCAGAATGCTAATAAAATCTATATATGATGACTCTTCTATTTATAAATGTGTTAGTCTGTTGTAATTCCACCATTTAACACAATGAACTATTTTCTAAATGCTAGGAAGTGGAAATAGCAGACTGCATGCAGACATTATTTAGAGGCAACTCACTGGCCAGTAAAATAATGGCATACTGCTTTAGGTTCTATGGCCAGTGGTATCTAAGGGAGTTACTCAATCCTTTGTTACTGAGTATGTTTGAAGTTGAAAAAAGTGAACATCCCATTTCATATGAAGTTGATCCTGCTAGGTGAGTCTTATGGTGGCTTCAATATATACAGGTGTTTGACAGGTTGGTTGGACAGGTGTGTAGTGAGTCTGGTTGGTTGGACAGGTGTGTAGTGGCAGTCTGGTTGGTTGGACAGGTGTGTAGTGGCAGTCTGGTTGGTTGGACAGGTGTGTAGTGAGTCTGGTTGGTTGGACAGGTGTGTAGTGGCAGTCTGGTTGGTTGGACAGGTGTGTAGTGGCAGTCTGGTTGGTTGGACAGGTGTGTAGTGAGTCTGGTTGGTTGGACAGGTGTGTAGTGGCAGTCTGGTTGGTTGGACAGGTGTGTAGTGAGTCTGGTTGGTTGGACAGGTGTGTAGTGGCAGTCTGGTTGGTTGGACAGGTGTGTAGTGAGTCTGGTTGGTTGGACAGGTGTGTAGTGAGTCTGGTTGGTTGGACAGGTGTGTAGTGAGTCTGGTTGGTTGGACAGGTGTGTAGTGAGTCTGGTTGGTTGGACAGGTGTGTAGTGGCAGTCTTGTTGGTTGGACAGGTGTGTAGTGGCAGTCTGGTTGGTTGGACAGGTGTGTAGTGGCAGTCTGGTTGGTTGGACAGGTGTGTAGTGAGTCTGGTTGGTTGGACAGGTGTGTAGTGAGTCTGGTTGGTTGGACAGGTGTGTAGTGAGTCTGGTTGGTTGGACAGGTGTGTAGTGGCAGTCTTGTTGGTTGGACAGGTGTGTAGTGAGTCTGGTTGGTTGGACAGGTGTGTAGTGGCAGTCTGGTTGGTTGGACAGGTGTGTAGTGGCAGTCTGGTTGGTTGGACAGGTGTGTAGTGAGTCTGGTTGGTTGGACAGGTGTGTAGTGGCAGTCTGGTTGGTTGGACAGGTGTGTAGTGAGTCTGTTTGGTTGGACAGGTGTGTAGTGAGTCTGGTTGGTTGGACAGGTGTGTAGTGAGTCTGTTTGGTTGGACAGGTGTGTAGTTAGTCTGTTTGGTTGGACAGGTGTGTAGTGGCAGTCTGGTTGGTTGGACAGGTGTGTAGTGAGTCTGGTTGGTTGGACAGGTGTGTAGTGAGTCTGGTTGGTTGGACAGGTGTGTAGTGAGTCTGTTTGGTTGGACAGGTGTGTAGTTAGTCTGTTTGGTTGGACAGGTGTGTAGTGAGTCTGGTTGGTTGGACAGGTGTGTAGTGAGTCTGTTTGGTTGGACAGGTGTGTAGTGAGTCTGTTTGGTTGGACAGGTGTGTAGTGAGTCTGGTTGGTTGGACAGGTGTGTAGTGAGTCTGTTTGGTTGGACAGGTGTGTAGTTAGTCTGTTTGGTTGGACAGGTGTGTAGTGGCAGTCTGGTTGGTTGGACAGGTGTGTAGTGAGTCTGGTTGGTTGGACAGGTGTGTAGTGGCAGTCTGGTTGGTTGGACAGGTGTGTAGTGGCAGTCTGGTTGGTTGGACAGGTGTGTAGTGAGTCTGGTTGGTTGGACAGGTGTGTAGTGAGTCTGGTTGGTTGGACAGGTGTGTAGTGAGTCTGTTTGGTTGGACAGGTGTGTAGTTAGTCTGTTTGGTTGGACAGGTGTGTAGTGGCAGTCTGGTTGGTTGGACAGGTGTGTAGTGGCAGTCTGGTTGGTTGGACAGGTGTGTAGTGAGTCTGTTTGGTTGGACAGGTGTGTAGTGGCAGTCTGGTTGGTTGGACAGGTGTGTAGTTAGTCTGGTTGGTTGGACAGGTGTGTAGTTAGTCTGGTTGGTTGGACAGGTGTGTAGTGGCAGTCTTGTTGGTTGGACAGGTGTGTAGTGAGTCTGGTTGGTTGGACAGGTGTGTAGTGAGTCTGGTTGGTTGGACAGGTGTGTAGTGGCAGTCTTGTTGGTTGGACAGGTGTGTAGTGAGTCTGTTTGGTTGGACAGGTGTGTAGTGGCAGTCTGGTTGGTTGGACAGGTGTGTAGTTAGTCTGGTTGGTTGGACAGGTGTGTAGTGGCAGTCTGATTACCTTGACCATGTGACCTGAGACCTGATTCTTGTTCTGTACTTACAGGTTGGAGCAAGGTGAAAACATTGAAGAGAATAAACAAAACTTATTGAACATCACACAGAAGGTGTTCAATGCTATTGTTGGCTCAGCTCCACAGTAAGTTGCTAATTGTGCTCATCCATGTGAGCAAGTTTTCCAGCCCACCATACCCATATCTGCCAATATACATCGGTCATTAGTTGTATTCTAAACATCTTGAGTTTCTTCAGAGTGCACAGCCTTGAACCATGACTTAAAACCTTCACTGAACAGTTGGTCACCAAATGACTTCAATCTATTCCACAAGCTCTTTCAGGGCCTGTGGATCTACACACAAATCATTCATTAGCTTTATTAATACAGTCTACATTTGTTCATTGACTCATATTTTTTTATTAGCCTCCACGTGTAAGAGTTAGGGAAAGATTAGTATAACTTATGCCACCATAGTGCTAGCTTCTGAATAATACAAATTATTTCTTTTAAATACTGTACATAAAAGTATTGCCTGCCATTCACCCGTATTATTTAAAACTACTAAAATAGGAGAAAAGTATTAAAAAAGTAACCTATCTAATTGATCTAGATGATAGTTAGCCATGCTTTGTCATGTGTGCCTTTTATTATTGCCTCTTAAATTAGTGGTGGGTCTAGTTGATGGTGCTGGTGTAGTGACCCCCCCCCCCCCCTTTCCTCAGTGCATGCTTGGTCTTGTGTACATTGTTGTACCCAATTGTTTGTGAGAGAGGAAACCTTGTTGGATGAACCCTACTTGCTGTAGACTGGCCAAGGTGCTCTTCCTGTGCTACCACTTGGCTCTCCTGCCTGTTTGTGTAAGAAGATACAATTGGATGTTGTGTTTCCAGGTTTCCACAGAAGCTGAGGGTCATGTGCCACTGTCTGGACCAAGTGCTGAGTCTGCGTCTTCCACCAGACTGTAAAACGGACACAGGCACATTCATATTCCTTCGGTTTTACAACCCTTATCTTAGTAAGAAACTTATTTGAAAGCTCTTTCAGGATGTTACAAAGGATGGTTAGGGGTGCAGGGGAGGTGGGGGTAGTGTAGGGGATGTATGGGAAAATCTGATGGCTGATAGAATCTGTCTAAGCAAGCTGCTTGTTTGTTTGGTGTTTGCCCTCTTGCTTTGCATTGTATTGTGTGTCAAAGCTTCCTCAAGCTTTAAGTAGACTGAATGCTGGTCCATTATACTAGCACAAGTAGCCCAAGATTTTATCCAATCTCAGACTTTTTGCATGATTCTATTTGCAGTTATTTACAATTCAGTAATGAGACAATAAAAGTTTTTTTCTGGAAAGCATCTTTTGATATTTAAAGTTTGTGACAAGCATTCTAAAATATCTGTTTGTGACAAGCTTTCTAATTTAAGTAATGTTTGTACAAGCTTTTTAATTTAAGTAATGTTTGTACAAGCTTTCTAATTTAAGTAATGTTTGTACAAGCTTTCTAATTTAAGTAATGTTTGTACAAGCTTTTTAATTTAAGTAATGTTTGTACAAGCTTTCTAATTTAATAATGTTTGTACAAGCTTTCTAATTTAAGTAATGTTTGTACAAGCTTTCTAATTTAAGTAATGTTTGTACAAGCTTTTTAATTTAAGTAATGTTTGTACAAGCTTTCTAATTTAATAATGTTTGTACAAGCTTTCTAAAATAAATAAAGCTTGTGACAAACATTCTATAATAAATATTTGTTAAAGGCATTCTATAATATGTTTGTGACCAGCATTCTAAAATGAACAAGTTTTTCACAAGCATTCTAAAATAAATAATGACACTCATTTTTAAAAATCTAGGTTTAAGTTTTTAGAAAACAAAACAATTGTTAAAAATTATACTTGTATAATCTGCCAGTGTTAAGAGGTTCCCTTTCTCCCTATTATTTTAAAAGGGAGAAATGAAGAATTAAATAATGTAGTTGAGTAAAGCCAGCATGAGGAGAAATCTGGCGAGTCCTTTAGTTATGTTTCCAACATAAAATGTAAAGTATAGTGAGCTAAGTATTAACTGGCAAGTCCTTTAGTCATGTTTCCAATGTAAAGTATAGTGAGCTAAGTATTAACTGGCGAGTCCTTTAGGCATGTTTCCAATGTAAAGTATAGTGAGCTAAGTATTAACTGGCGAGTCCTTTAGGCATGTTTCCAACATAAAATTTAAAGTATAGTGAGCTAAGTATTAACTGGCGAGTCCTTTAGGTAAGTTTCCAATGTAAAGTATAGTGAGCTAAGTATTAACTGGCGAGTCCTTTAGGTATGTTTCCAATGTAAAGTATAGTGAGCTAAGTATTAACTGGCGAGTCCTTTAGGCATGTTTCCAATGTAAAGTATAGTGAGCTAAGTATTAACTGGCGAGTCCTTTAGGCATGTTTCCAACATAAAATGTAAAGTATAGTGAGCTAAGTATTAACTGGCAAGTCCTTTAGTCATGTTTCCAATGTAAAGTATAGTGAGCTAAGTATTAACTGGCGAGTCCTTTAGGCATGTTTCCAATGTAAAGTATAGTGAGCTAAGTATTAACTGGCGAGTCCTTTAGGCATGTTTCCAACATAAAATTTAAAGTATAGTGAGCTAAGTATTAACTGGCGAGTCCTTTAGGTAAGTTTCCAATGTAAAGTATAGTGAGCTAAGTATTAACTGGCGAGTCCTTTAGGTATGTTTCCAATGTAAAGTATAGTGAGCTAAGTATTAACTGGCGAGTCCTTTAGGCATGTTTCCAATGTAAAGTATAGTGAGCTAAGTATTAACTGGCGAGTCCTTTAGGCATGTTTCCAACATAAAATTTAAAGTATAGTGAGCTAAGTATTAACTGGCGAGTCCTTTAGGTAAGTTTCCAATGTAAAGTATAGTGAGCTAAGTATTAACTGGCGAGTCCTTTAGGCATGTTTCCAATGTAAAGTATAGTGAGCTAAGTATTAACTGGCAAGTCCTTTAGGCATGTTTCCAACATAAAATGTAAAGTATAGTGAGCTAAGTATTAACTGGCGAGTCCTTTAGGCATGTTTCCAATGTAAAGTATAGTGAGCTAAGTATTAACTGGCAAGTCCTTTAGGCATGTTTCCAACATAAAATTTAAAAGTATAGTGAGCTAAGTATTAACTGGCGAGTCCTTTAGGTAAGTTTCCAATGTAAAGTATAGTGAGCTAAGTATTAACTGGCGAGTCCTTTAGGCATGTTTCCAATGTAAAGTATAGTGAGCTAAGTATTAACTGGCGAGTCCTTTAGGCATGTTTCCAATGTAAAATATAGTGAGCTAAGTATTAACTGGCGAGTCCTTTAGGCATGTTTCCAATGTAAAGTATAGTGAGCTAAGTATTAACTGGCGAGTCCTTTAGGCATGTTTCCAATGTAAAGTATAGTGAGCTAAGTATTAACTGGCGAGTCCTTTAGGTATGTTTCCAATGTAAAGTATAGTGAGCTAAGTATTAACTGGCAAGTCCTTTAGGCATGTTTCCAATGTAAAGTATAGTGAGCTAAGTATTAACTGGTGAGTCCTTTAGGTATGTTTCCAATGTAAAGTATAGTGAGCTAAGTATTAACTGGCAAGTCCTTTAGGTATGTTTCCAATGTAAAGTATAGTGAGCTAAGTATTAACTGGCGAGTCCTTTAGGCATGTTTCCAATGTAAAGTATAGTGAGCTAAGTATTAACTGGCGCGTCCTTTAGGCATGTTTCCAATGTAAAGTATAGTGAGCTAAGTATTAACTGGCGAGTCCTTTAGGTATGTTCCAACATAAAATATTTCCAATGTATAGTGAGCTAAGTATGAACTGAATGAAACTAACAAGGTTCCCACCCCTGCTGTTTGACACCCTGCTTGCTTGTTTGCTTGTCAGTCTACACTTGTTGCTCTATGGTACACAACTCTACTTGTAGCAAGTGCAACTGCACCGTTACCAATAGCTTCAGTATTGTATAAAACTAATTTTAATGAGAATAATATTTGTCCTTTATTAAATTAGGGCCTAATGACTTACTAGAAAAATTTAGATACTCCAAAAATTTAGATACACCCTCCAGCATCTTAAGGAGAATAGTTCTCATATAAATCTGTACTGTGTTTTCAAACTCTAGTTTAGACTAGGTGACCTGTTTCATTACTGATTGGTCACCTGTGACTTACTGGTCACCTATGAATGACTGGCCATCTGCGGCTAACAGATAACCTATGGCTGGAGTCGGTAATTGGTTAACTCAGTTTGTTTCAGGGTCACGCCGGAGCTGTCTTGTTTCATCTCTGTTGTCTTCACATAGTGTTGGACCATAATCATACAGTGTCATGTTGTCTTCACATAGTGTTGAACCATAATCATACACTGTCATGTTGTCTTCACATAGTGTTGGACCATAATCATACACTGTCATGTTGTCTTCACATAGTGTTGGACCATAATCATACACTGTCATGTTGTCTTCACATAGTGTTGGACCATAATCATACACTGTCATGTTGTCTTCACATAGTGTTGGACCATAATCATACAGTTATGTTGTCTTCACATAGTGTTGGACCATAATCATACACTGTCATGTTGTCTTCACATAAACATAGCATACAACTTGTGAGATCAGTACAATTAATTGACATTGATCAGTATGTAAATTGAAAATGTTTTTATCAGTAAATTGGGTTATAAAAGCAAACACCCTATCTGGAAGGGTTTGGTAAAATCTACACAAGTTATGTGACTTATTGCTTGTGCCTTTTTAATGAATGATGTGGAAAGTTATCACGGTGCACACACATTGTTGATCTGATCAGAAGGTAGGCACAAAGTTAAGCCTTGCTACTGATGCACAGCTCTTTATAGTTAATCATGTGGGACATGCTCACAGTGACATAGGAACTGACATGCTCACAGTGACATGGGAACTGACATGCTCAAGTGACATGGGAACTGACATGCTCACAGTGACATGGGAACTGACATGCTCACAGTGACATGGGAACTGACATGCTCACAGTGACATGGGAACTGACATGCTCACAGTGACATGGGAACTGACATGCTCACAGTGACATGGGAACTGACATGCTCACAGTGACATGGGAACTGACATGCTCACAGTGACATGGGAACTGACATGCTCACAGTGACATGGGAACTGACATGCTCACAGTGACATGGGAACTGACATGCTCACAGTGACATGGGAACTGACATGCTCACAGTGACATGGGAACTGACATGCTCACAGTGACATGGGAACTGACATGCTCACAGTGACATGGGAACTGACATGCTCACAGTGACATGGGAACTGACATGCTCACAGTGACATGGGAACTGACATGCTCACAGTGACATGGGAACTGACATGCTCACAGTGACATAAGAACTGACATGCTCACATTTAAATCTGATTAATTTAAAGCACTACTTTGAGAATGTAAAGCTGGAAAATGAAATTTTGGACTGTAAAGCTGGACTATGAGAGGTTGGACTGTGGAGCTGGACATTGAGGTTTTGGACTGTTAAGATGGACAATGAGATTTTGGACTGTAAAGCTTGATTATGAGAGGTTGGACTGTAAAGCTAGACTATCAGAGGTTGGACTGTAAAACTGGACTATGAGATGTTTTGAGGCATTGTGCAGCTGTGTCACTTGATAAGATCCACAGTGTGTGTCCCCATCCTCTGAGAATCTGCCAGACAACACGCCTTATCTGTGTCTTTTCACCGTGTTGTTGCCCACTTAGGTTTCCAGCCAAGCTGCGCAGTATGTGTCACTGCCTGTATCAGGTTGTAACACAGCGCTTTCAGCAAAGTAGTTCAGAGGCAGTGTGGACTGTCATTGGAACAGTGATATTCTTGCGCTTCATCAACCCAGCTATAGGTAATAGTGGAACAATCAAGTAACTCACTGTTGTTTTACATGCCAGCAGTTTCTTTTTTTAAACTTACTCCCCTCAAAGTTTTTTTTTTCTCAAACATTTACCTTTTTTTCCCTCTTTATCATGTACAGCTTAGCTTATTCCTTTTTCTTAACTTTTTGGTACATCTTTAAAATATTTTGGTTACCTTAAAAAATAGTTTATGAAAAAATAGCTAAATCTGTTTGACTTTTGATAAACTTTTATACTTGAATATTTTAAAAAGTATACTGAGATAAAAAAAAAAAAGACATGATCAGGGTATTTTTCTCTGAATTACAAGGAATCTGATTACTTTAAGAATATTCCCCTCTTATTGCACGTTTGCTGAACTAAGGCATGAAGTATAATAAAGCTGTAACAGTGCATTTTTCAACCCTACCGGTCTTTTATTTTCTGCCCAATTTGGAATTAGTGGAAGCAAGAAATTTTTCTTTTTACGTTTGTACCAAAAGTAAAGATTTCTGTTTACACTTTTTGAAAGAACTTACTAAAATAGTTTTCACTGTAACTGTATTGATATATATTTTCACTAATGTAACTAATGGTTACTGTTGGCGTAACAGCATCAATTCTGCTTTATGTTTTGTTGTTTTTATAAATGTTTTGTTATATTTATTCACACCTATTCTATTGCTTTAACTCATTAGTTATATTTTAAAATCTGCACTCTCTATAACATTAACTTGGCCAGGGTGGCTAGTAAAGGCCTAGTTAGCTAGTCAATAGCTAGTTAGTAGTTAGCTAGAGAGAGGTCCATTGTTTGCCCCAGGTAGCTTCAGTGGGTTAATAGTTTGGTCTTAGTTAAAGCAGAAATTTGGTCAGTAGTTTATTGTATGTAACAAGCTAGCATAGTTAGCCTTGGTCAAGTTTTATTTACCGTTGTTAGTACCACCTTTGAACAATTTCCAAATGTCAGAGTTATCATTTTATTCTGCTAGACTAGATGGAGTGTTATTTAATTTGTGCTCTTACTATTTTGTGTAACATTAAAAAATAATAATAGTCCTTAGTATTTAAGTGGTGATCTAAATCCTTAGTATATACTTATATACAATAGTATAATAATCCATGATGTAACTTAGATGTAATATTTAACTCTGATCTTAAGATGATCCAAATGTGTTTTCATCTTGAAATATTTATCTCTTGCCAGTTTCACCATATGAATCAGGTATAGTTGAAGAAGAACCAACTCCTCGCATCAAACGTGGTCTGACACTGATGTGTAAGATCATGCAGAACATAGCCAATCATCTTTTGTTCAGCAAAGAGCAGCATATGGTTCCTTTCAATGAATTTTTAAAAAATAACTTTGAGCTTGGTCGAAGGTTAGTAACAATAGTTAATTATTTTTAGTTCATCATTTATTAGAAAAAAAATGACTTTCTAATGGACAAGACATGGTTGCTTAGAGGACGGCATCACTATTGGTGTCACAGGGGAAGCAAGTCTGTCTCATCTGAATATCCCTACACTTTCAAACTAATTGCAAGAATTAGAAGATTAGTATTTAAAAAATCAAGTTCATTTAATTTACAAATGTTGAAAAGTGTATAAACAACTTTTTGAGGCTACATTCTGTTTAAACCCTGTCCATAACTGTGAGATATTTTATTTGTATCACCTTGGTACTAATATGTTTGATTGGCTAAGCAATCACCATGACCAAGTTAAGGCTAGATTGGTTACACTTAATTACATTATTATGTTTTGACAAAAGCAACTAATTATTTTCAAATGTTCAATAGTTTGTTATAATATAAATAACCTAAAATATATTTAAGTTTTACAAAAATCACATGATCAAGGTTTTATGATCACATTACAAAAACACAGCATGGAATTTTTTATGATCACATTACAAAAACACAGCATGGAATTTTTTATGATCACATTACAAAAACACAGCATGGAATTTTTTATGATCACATTACAAAAACACAGCATGGAATTTTTTATGATCACATTACAAAAACACAGCATGGAATTTTTTATGATCACATTACAAAAACACAGCATGGAATTTTTTATGATCACATTACAAAAACACTGAATGACATTTTAATAGCTCTTCTAGCCAAAACTGTTGGCTGCCATCAATTATATTGGCCAACAGGCATATACAAAATACAAATATGGCCAACAGGCATATACAAAATGTAAAAAAAATAAAATAGTCTGAAATCAACATTGTTTTTAAAAATTGACTTGGGTAAGTTTCTTTACCGTTTTATCTAACATATGTTGACTTGTTTGATCAGGTTTTTTACAGAGATAGCCTCAGATTGTGAGATCTTTGACCCAGGCAACCACAGTTTGTCCTTCATTAATGATGCTAATGTCATTGCCTTACATAGGCTCTTATGGAACAACCAGGAAAAGATTGGAGACTACCTCTCTAGTAGCAGGTAACACATGTCCCAAACTTAACGCCTGACATTTCTTAGGTGTGTGCATGCTTTTAAACTAATAGTAAATATTCTGCTATTCCAATTACCTGTTACCTTAAGTCACGTTTCTCCAGTTATCTGAAGTCACATGTCACCAGTTATCTGAAGTCTTATGTCACCAGTTATCTGAAGTCTTATGTCACCAGTTATCTGAAGTCTTATGTCACCAGTTATCTGAAGTCTTATGTCACCAGTTATCTGAAGTCATGTGTCACCAGTTATCTGTAGTCTTATGTCACCAGTTATCTGAAGTCTTATGTCACCAGTTATCTGAAGTCTTATGTCACCAGTTATCTGAAGTCTTATGTCACCAGTTATCTGAAGTCTTATGTCACCAGTTATCTGAAGTCTTATGTCACCAGTTATCTGAAGTCTTATGTCACCAGTTATCTGAAGTCTTATGTCACCAGTTATCTGAAGTCTTATGTCACCAGTTATCTGAAGTCATGTGTCACCAGTTATCTGAAGTCTTATGTCACCAGTTATCTGTAGTCTTATGTCACCAGTTATCTGAAGTCTTATGTCACCAGTTATCTGAAGTCTTGTGTCACCAGTTATCTGAAGTCTTATGTCACCAGTTATCTGAAGTCTTGTGTCACCAGTTATCTGAAGTCTTATGTCACCAGTTATCTGAAGTCTTATGTCACCAGTTATCTGAAGTCTTATGTCACCAGTTATCTGAAGTCTTGTGTCACCAGTTATCTGAAGTCTTATGTCACCAGTTATCTGAAGTCTTATGTCACCAGTTATCTGAAGTCTTGTGTCACCAGTTATCTGAAGTCTTGTGTCACCAGTTATCTGAAGTCTTATGTCACCAGTTATCTGAAGTCTTATGTCACCAGTTATCTGAAGTCTTGTGTCACCAGTTATCTGAAGTCTTGTGTCACCAGTTATCTGAAGTCTTATGTCACCAGTTATCTGAAGTCTTGTGTCACCAGTTATCTGAAGTCTTATGTCACCAGTTATCTGAAGTCTTGTGTCACCAGTTATCTGAAGTCTTGTGTCACCAGTTATCTGAAGTCTTATGTCACCAGTTATCTGAAGTCTTATGTCACCAGTTATCTGAAGTCTTATGTCACCAGTTATCTGAAGTCTTATGTCACCAGTTATCTGAAGTCTTATGTCACCAGTTATCTGAAGTCTTATGTCACCAGTTATCTGAAGTCTTTTGTCACCAGTTATCTGAAGTCTTATGTCACCAGTTATCTGAAGTCTTATGTCACCAGTTATCTGAAGTCTTATGTCACCAGTTATCTGAAGTCTTATGTCACCAGTTATCTGAAGTCTTATGTCACCAGTTATCTGAAGTCTTATGTCACCAGTTATCTGAAGTCTTATGTCACCAGTTATCTGAAGTCTTATGTCACCAGTTATCTGAAGTCTTATGTCACCAGTTATCTGAAGTCTTATGTCACCAGTTATCTGAAGTCATATGTCACCAGTTATCTGAAGTCTTATGTCACCAGTTATCTGAAGTCTTATGTCACCAGTTATCTGAAGTCATATGTCACCAGTTATCTGAAGTCTTGTGTCACCAGTTATCTGAAGTCTTATGTCACCAGTTATCTGAAGTCTTGTGTCACCAGTTATCTGAAGTCTTATGTCACCAGTTATCTGAAGTCTTGTGTCACCAGTTATCTGAAGTCTTATGTCACCAGTTATCTGAAGTCTTATGTCACCAGTTATCTGAAGTCTTATGTCACCAGTTATCTGAAGTCTTATGTCACCAGTTATCTGAAGTCTTGTGTCACCAGTTATCTGAAGTCTTATGTCACCAGTTATCTGAAGTCTTATGTCACCAGTTATCTGAAGTCTTATGTCACCAGTTATCTGAAGTCTTATGTCACCAGTTATCTGAAGTCTTATGTCACCAGTTATCTGAAGTCTTATGTCACCAGTTATCTGAAGTCTTATGTCACCAGTTATCTGAAGTCATGTGTCAGCAGACATCTGAAGTCATGTGTCACCAGTTATCTGAAGTCTTATGTCACCAGTTATCTGAAGTCTTATGTCACCAGTTATCTGAAGTCTTATGTCACCAGTTATCTTATATCATATTTCACCATAACTATTGTCTTAATAGTAGTGTTTGTGATGATCCGTTGACTGGAATAGTCAAACTATATTTAAAAGCATTTTTAGATAGGGGTCATCCATAAATGACGTCACACTCGTAGGGGGGGAGGGGGGGTCCGTAATTTTGTGACGATGTGTGATGAGGGGGAGGGGGGGGGGGGTTCAGATGTTGCGACGTCACATTTTTGCATTATAAAAAAGCAATGTTAGAAAACGAATTTTAGACGTTATTTCGCGTTTTCGATAACTGTTTTAATAAATTGTAATAGTTTAGACGAGATTTTGGGAAAATATCGATGTTTAAAAAAAATTCAACTGCAATTTTGAGGGGGTCGTAGGTTGAGGTGTGACGTCATTTTAGGGGGCGGGGGTCTGGCTTTTTGTGACGACGTGTGACGGAGGGGAGGGGGGGAGGTAAAAATCGTCAAAAAAAGCGTGACGTCATTTATGGATGACCCCATAGCCCTGGCTTACTTGATGCACAGATAGCTTCAAACAATGGTTTCAATCTCATTTAGAAAGATGATCTTCTTGCCCCAGTACTAGAGGGATGGCTGTAGATTGTACTCACTAGCATCAAGTTTATTCAAAAAGTACATTGAGGTGCATGCTGCTCTATGGCATACAATCTAACTCCTAGCATTTTGAAGAATGGTACAAAACACTCTCTGGCTGCCTGTCTCATGTTTAAACTCCACTCTCTTCATACACCTGACCTTTTCCTTGTATTCAGTTTGCCATTTAATGTTCACAACTAATTCATATTTTACAAAAAAGTAGATTTAAATGTGATTTCTTCTGTTTCTTCATTAATACTCCAGTCAGCTAGCCTTTATGATCAGTCATCTTGTCTTTATAGTCAGTCGGCTAGTCTTTATAGTTTAGTCAGTCAGCCAGCTGTCAGACAGCTATTTAGACCTGACTTACAGACCCAGGGCAATGGTTGTATCAGGACATTCAGCTCATGTTGATTGGATGGATTATGTGACTAGCCTTTGGTGCTATTAGCATTGCATTGTGCACAACTGATATCTCTGTCTGTCTATCTATCCGTCTGACTGTCTGTCTGTCGCTCTCTCTTTATATATATATATATATATATATATATATATATATATATATATATATACATACATACATATATATATATATATATATATATATATACATACATACATATATATATATATATATATATATATATATATATACATACATACATATATATACATATTTTTTTTTTTTTTTCATTAATTTGTGCAATCTGCCTGATTAAGGATTGAAATCTTGTCCATTAGTTTGATAATACACCACTTACCATCATGACAGGGCAGATTTTGAAACATGCTACCATTATTAATGTTACCCAAGGGGGGGGGGGGGTGGGGGGGCTGTGTAATAGGTAGAACACATGACTACTAACTTGAAAGTCCTGAGTTTAGTACCTGGACCCCCAGACAGATGTGGCTTGTTCACTTGGGACAGCAACCATCTAGGAGTAAAAATCCAAAATCCAACAGCTGGTGCCTTGTAGATGTTGTTGAGTCAGCTTAGTGAGCACATCCATAAGGACAAGTTTGAGTTTATATGGTACATCTCTTAATGGCTGGCAGGCACAACTCAATTATGTTGGAGGAAAACAAAGATATTAAACTTGCTGCTAGATCCAATTCAATGTTAAAATGAAGAAGTAAAAATTATCCCCTATAAATTCTTATAACATGCTTTTTTTTTCTGCTCTGAGAATAATCTCTTGATTAAAAAAGCCATGGTATTAACTTGTATGATAGGCCGTGAGTGTTCAAAGTTAGTGCAGAATGTCTACAGCTTGTAGGCAGGTACATTTTGTCTGAGTGCTTTGATGCTATGTAGACCATGGATCAGCTACTCTACATTGTATGTTTATTACTGATGAGGCATTTGCACCTCCATTTTTGTCTTTATACCTCTCATTCCTCCCTCCTTAGCCTGGAGGTTCTGACAGAAAACTTCGTTTTGGAGGCGGCAGAAGGCCAGCAAAGATTGTATGTATCTCATTTTTAACTCTGTCTAATGGGCAAATGAAGTGAATTCTAGCAGTCAGAAGATCAGCTGGAGAAAGTTAAAAACAAATAGTAACAACTTACTTAAATAGCTCAAACATTTCATAGGTCAGTCTCAAATAATACTGACTCTTCTCCAGCTCTGCCCAGTTAACTGACAAACTATATCAAATAGTAAGGAATGTGCCAGTCATTTATTTCATGTCATGCTTAAATGTCAAGCTCATTCATGTCAACCATTTTTGATTCATTGAAAGCTGCTTACACTAAATAACTTCCATTAGAATCAATAGCATAGAAACAGGTTGAAACAGTTTCATATAAAATAAAATACTTCCAACAAATTGTGTATTCAAATGTAAAGCAATATTTTTTTTTGCTGAACTTCACTTCATTTTCCTGATATTTTACCAGGGTTTGTGTGTCAGTATGTGTTATTAGGTTTGTGTGTCAGTTGGTGTTGTGTTAGTATGTGTTATTAGGTTTGTGTCAATAGTTGTGTGTTGCGCTGTGTGTTAGTAGGTGTTGTGTGTCCATTTGTGTTATGTTGTGTGTCAGTTGGTGTTGTCTTAAGTGGTAGTGCTTGCATGAGTCTGAGTCAGCCATTTATTACTATGATGATTATGGTCCAAAATTTGAGTCAGCCATTTATTACTATGATGAAACTACAGTAGGGTGATTATGGTCCAAAATTTGAGTCAGCCATTTATTACTATGATGAAACTACAGTAGGGTGATTATGGTCCAAAATTTGAGTCAGCCATTTATTACTATGATGAAACTACAGTAGGGTGATTATGGTCCAAAATTTGAGTCAGCCATTTATTACTATGATGAAACTACAGTAGGGTGATTATGGTCCAAAATTTGAGTCAGCCATTTATTACTATGATGAAACTACAGTAGGGTGATTATGGTCCAAAATTGACTGGATCATGGATGTTGGGAAGTTGTCCTCAAACGTTATTAGAATCTTTTTAGTCCAGATCTAAACCTCAATTGAGTATTCAAGTCAGATTGGAGTGCATGTTCATTAGCATACAGTAAAAAGCATATATGTGTATGACTGTAAAGCATTTGAAGTATAATAAACGTAGTTTGGTTGTATTCTCACCAAATTCAATGGAGATGGTCCCACCTTTTTTAAAGTGTGCCCACTCCCATCCATCTGGACAAAAGTAAATGCCCCAACTGAAATGCCCTGGACAAAAGTAAATGCCCCAACTGAAATGCCCTGGACAAAAGTAAATGCCCCAACTGAAATGACCCGGACAGAAGTACATGCCCCAACTGAAATGACCCGGACAAAAGTACATGCCCCAACTAAAATGCCCTGGACAAAAGTAAATGCCCCAACTCAAATGCCCTGGACAAAAGTAAATGCCCCAACTCAAATGCCCTGGACAAAAGTAAATGTCCCAATTAAAATGACCTGGACAAATGTAAATGCCCTAAGTAAAATACCCTGGACAGAAATGTAAATGCCAACTGAAATTGTTTGGCACAAACTAATAGAATAATCTAATATAAACCCTAGAGTAACAAATTAATTTTAAGCAAATTAATCTAGAACTACTCAAAAATCTGATATAAAATGGTTTTTGTTTTTGTTTCATAGAAAGAAAAATTATTTTATTTAGGCATTTGTGGCATTTGGGCAAGTGTCCAGTCAGGAAAACTTCATTCAGGCAGCTCCCTTTTTGTAGATATAGAATTCACTTAAGCTCAATTGTTTTTGCATTTAAAATTCAATTAGGCTCAATTGTTTTATGTTCATAAGCACTTCAAAAATTCAGATGCATTTTGCTACTATACAGGTGTAATAGACTTGTGTGTGTGTGTACAGGTGTAATAGACTTGTGTGTGTGTACAGGTGTAATACATGTGTGTGTACAGGTGTAATAGACTTGTGTGTACAGGTGTAATACTTGTGTGTGTACAGGTGTAATAGATTTGTGCATGTTGTATTAGGTTCAAATAACCTTAGCGCAAATGATATTTAGGCAAGTGTCTTTCAGGTAAATGCTCAGTAACCATTTATTTTTATTTTTTTTAAAAAGAAACGTTTAAAATGCAATTTTTAATATAATTGATACAAAAAATGAACCTAATTAACTTTAACTTTAGAGCCCAAGAAATAAAAGAAAGAACACAAGTTTGAGATAAAGAAATAAAATAATGTGGGCAGTCTTTGGTTTCTATACTGGTAGTGTCTCCAGTTGTTTTTGCATGTTTGCTAGCCATTATAAGGATGTGTGAATCTCTGTAGCAGTCCAAACTTTATACCGTCATTGGCATGGCTCCTGTTGTAATTTTCCTAGTGTGGGAACAAAGGTTGAATATCTAAAAATGACTTCCTGTGAATATGATTAACTCTATTCTCACTGACTTGGGTTTTCACAATCAAATGACTTGGAGGTACATCCTCTAGGAAATTTTGTTGCTTCATTTTTGGTACATTGTTTTTGTAATCTGCATTTAGAGGGTTGCTTGTTTATTTGCCTCATGTTTGTATATAAGTTAAACTGCATTATAATAGCATATTGTGTTTGACCATGCATATTGTGTTTGACCATACACATCATGTTTTGGATGTTGAACTGCATTGTGTTTGACCATACCAGTGTTTCTCTCAGACTTTTTTCTCCAGGTGGTGGGGGGACACTGGTAAAAGTATATATTTTCTATATAAATTCCATTTTGCAAGCCCCAAAGAGATGCCGGGAATAAACACTGGATCATTGGCACACCAAACTGGACCAGCTTGTGCTGAATCCATTAGCATGTTTTTTGCATTTAAAAACATTTTTACTAGTTATTTGATTTGGGCAAACACCACATGATTTGCGTTGATTAGTGATTTCATGTACATTCAGCATTTCAATGTCGGAGCAACTCTTACAGTCAGAATAAATCATTATTGTCAGTATGTAAGCTGTCAGTTTAGATCAGTACTCAGTGCAAGTCAGTCATATCATTGGTCAATGATGTCAGCAGTTAGTACATGCCAGTTGATTTTTTCTCTACAGGGACCACAAAGCTGTAGGGAGACGACCCTTTGACAAGATGGCTACCTTGTTAGCTTATCTTGGCCCTCCAGAACACAGGCCATTGGATTCGCAGTAAGTTCACACCTAGGTAAAGGCTTGCCACTTCTACAGAGCCCTTTTCTTTTCTATCAGCCCATCCTTCCCTCACTATAAAACCCCAGTTTAACCTAACCCTTTCTTACCCCCCCACCCACTTGTGTAGAAGAAGTTGACTCCTCCCTCCCCCATCCTACACAGCCCAGTCTACTGTAGAGATCCCTTTTAAGTTTGACTCCTGTCCTGTTAGGTGGAGCTCAATGGATATGACCAGCACCAAGTTTGAGGAGATCATGTCCAAGCAGAACATGCATGAGAAAGATGAGTTTAAGTCTCTGAAAAATCTCCACATTTTCTACCAGGCTGGAACCTCCAAAATGGGCAACCCTGTCTTTTACTATGTGGCCAGGAGATACAAGTAATACTTATTTTTGCTTTCTTTTAATCCTGGGATGTGTTCCTTCTGTTAGCATTGCTTAGCATTTACACTGCTGTTTTAGGGTTGGTGAAATCAATGGAGACCTTCTGATTTATCATGTTCTACTGACACTCAAGCCATTCTACAATAAACCATTTGAGCTGGTCATAGATTTTACTCACACGTGTTCAGAAAACAGGTTTAGGGTGAGTTACTTTCTCAGCTTGTGTTTGTTAGTAGGCTACTCAAGTATTTGTTGCCTGTATTTTGGTCTGTGACTTTCTGTTTGCCTACCAGACGGACTTCCTAAACAAGTGGTTTGTTGTGATGCCTGAAAATGTCTACCAAAACATTACAGCTGCCTACATCTACAACTGCAACTCTTGGGTTAGAGAGTACACCAAGTACCATGACAGAATTCTCTCTTCTCTTAAGGTATCATAGCTTTCAGACTTGTTGACTTGCTTGTCAAAGGAAAAAACAAACCTCTGATAGAGTACATTTTCTGATTCAGAATAATCGCAAGTTGATATTTATTGATCACCCTGCCAAACTGAGTGAGTATATTGACCAAGAGTTCCAAAAACTGCCTGGCACTACCATGTCATTAGAAGAGGACCTCAAGGTGTTTAACAACGCACTTAAACTCTCACACAAGGACACAAAAGTGGCTATAAAGGTAATCTACTTGTCACATAGAAAGCAATTGCATGCTTCCTTTTCAAGAGAATTTTCCATTGAAATGTTTGGCTGTTGAGCACCTGTTTTAAAAAACCAGAACGCTGCTCCTTTTTCTCACATGTACAAACTGTACCTTCTAGGTTGGACCAAGTGCAATTCAAGTGACCTCGTCAGAGAAGAGCAAAGTTCTGGGTCACCAGGTGCTGCTTAATGACGTTTACTACGCTGCAGAGATAGAGGAGGTCAGAATCTTTTGGAAATTTTCGCAAGTCTTTTGTAGAACAAGTTTGGAACTTTTGTAGAACTAGTTTGAAACTTTTGTAGAACTAGTTTGAAACTTTTGTAGAACTAGTTTGAAACTTTTGTAGAACTAGGTTGAAACTTTTGTAGAACAAGTTTGAAACTTTTGTAGAACTAGTTTGGAACTTTTGTAGAACAAGTTTGAAACTTTTGTAGAACTAGTTTGAAACTTTTGTAGAACTAGTTTGGAACTTTTGTAGAACAAGTTTGAAACTTTTGTAGAACTAGTTTGAAACTTTTGTAGAACTAGTTTGAAACTTTTGTAGAACAAGTTTGAAACTTTTGCAGAACAAGTTTGGAACTTTTGTAGAACTAGTTTGAAACTTTTGTAGAACTAGTTTGAAACTTTTGTAGAACTAGTTTGAAACTTTTGTAGAACTAGTTTGAAACTTTTGTAGAACTAGTTTGGAACTTTTGTAGAACTAGTTTGGAACTTTTGTAGAACAAGTTTGAAACTTTTGTAGAACTAGTTTGGAACTTTTGTAGAACTAGTTTGGAACTTTTGTAGAACTAGTTTGAAACTTTTGTAGAACTAGTTTGAAACTTTTGTAGAACTAGTTTGAAACTTTTGTAGAACTAGTTTGAAACTTTTGTAGAACTAGTTTGAAACTTTTGTAGAACTAGTTTGAAACTTTTGTAGAACTAGTTTGAAACTTTAGTAGAACAAGTTTGGAACTTTTGTAGAACAAGTTTGGAACTTTTGTAGAACAAGTTTGGAACTTTTGTAGAACAAGTTTGAAAAAGTCTAAAGCGGGTTGATGACTTGTTTGAGGAAATTGAGAAAATAAATTATGTTACAATGTCATAGCTTTGTCTATGTAATTGGGTGCAACACTCAGGTACTACCCCTGTTTAAGGGGGTAGGCTCCAGTAAAAAATAACTTTTTTAATACTAGAGAGCGCTCAATTTTTTTCTACAGCTTTATTAAGATGCATCCAAATATGCATTTCCACTAAAAAAAAAATCAGTAAATTTTGTTTGGTAACTATGACAATGGCAGCCATCTTGAAAATTAACCTCTTTGTAGGATTTTCACCATTTATAAAATATTACATTTTAAGTCCAATAAACAATAAATTCATAATCTTCCATATTTTGGGGTACTCAGCTATAAATTTTAGATGTAGATCTTCAGACTAATTTCTTGTGAATTTTCAAATTTTTGATCTGGTAAAAACACTAAATTTTTTTGATGTAGCTACTATTTGAAAATTCATTAAAAAAATTAGTTTTAAGATCTGCACTAAAAATTTTTAGCTGAGTACCTCAAAATATGGTAGAAGATTATGAATTCATTGTTTATTGGACTTGAAATATAATATTTTATGAATAGTGGAATACCTACAAAGAGGTTAATTTTTTAATATGGCTGCTGTTGTCATAGTTACCAGAAAAAAAAATTTCACAATTTTTTTAGTGGAAATGCATATTAGGATGTACGTTAAAAAAGCTGTAGAGAAAAAATTGTTTGCTCTCTAGTATTAAAAAAGTTTTTTTTACCAGGGCCTACCCCCTTTGAAGCTACACTCAGGTATTACACTTGTTTTAGTTTAAGTGCTGCATGAATTTAGCTTTGGTGTTCCATCCATTTAGTTAGGAGCTAGATTCATGTTATTAGTCTTCGTACATTTAAATTCTGCATAAATTTAGCTTTGGTGTTCCATCTATTTAGTTAGGTGCTAGATTGTTATTAGTCTTTGTACATTTAAGTGCTACATCCAGTTAATCATGTACCCTAACTTATTTTTGTTATAGTAAGTCATAGAAGTCATTGTTATATGGAGTCACATACCTGTCGTAATAAATACCCCCAGGTGTGCCTAGTAGATGACAACCAGTTTACCCTGACAATAGCCAATGAAACTGGACCATTATCTTTCATCCACAATGACTGTGATAATATTGTTCAAGCCATCATCCATATCCGGACCAGATGGGAGCTGTCTCAGCCAGTAAACACATTCTTTACTTTATCCAGATACATTTTTTTTCTACACTTTTTTTTTATAGCTTTTCTTTTTTCAATGTCCACAATTTTTCTCTACAATTGTGTTTGTACCTTCTGTATAGGATACCGTGACAGTTCACACAAAGATACGACCAAAGGATGTACCTGGTACACTTCTCAATGTGGTAGGTCAAACACTTCAGCAGATTACACACTAGAGTTTATTTATTTTACAACTGGGACATCTCTCCATACATTAAGTTTTCACTTTGTACATTTTGATGTTCAAGCTTGACATTTGACCTTACATTTAATGTTCCAACTGGACTCATCACATTCTAGTACAGTTTTTATGTTCCAACTAGACTCATCACATTCTTGTACAAGTTTTTATGTTCCAACTGGACTCATCACATTCTAGTACATGTTTTTATGTTCCAACTGGACTCATCACATTCTAGTACAAGTTTTTATGTTCCAACCGGACTCATCACATTCTAGTACAAGTTTTTTATGTTCCAACTGGACTCATCACATTCTAGTACACGTTTTTATGTTCCAACTGGACTCATCACATTCTATTACAAGTTTTTATGTTCCAACTGGACTCATCACATTCTAGTACAAGTTTTTATGTTCCAACTAGACTCATCACATTCTAGTACAAGTTTTTATGTTCCAACCGGACTCATCACATTCTAGTACAAGTTTTTATGTTCCAACCGGACTCATCACATTCTAGTACAAGTTTTTATGTTCCAAGTTGACATGTAGATTTTGTATTGCAGGCTCTGCTAAATCTGGGCAGCTCAGACCCAAGTTTGAGGTCAGCAGCCTACAATCTGTTGTGTGCACTGACACAGACTTTTGACTTGAAGATCGAGGGACAATTGTTGGAAACTAATGGTAGGTACCTTTGTGGTATGCTCATTAAAACAGTTTTGTTGTACCCATTCACTTGAGAGTAGTTTTAGAGAGTCCTGAAGAAAATATTTGAGTTTGGAGTCAAGAAGCATTAAAGAAGTGTTTAAAGAAGTGTGTGTCTGCTGTAGGTTTATGTATCCCTGCCAACAACACCATATCATGTTTAAAGAAGTGTGTGTCTGCTGTAGGTTTATGTATCCCTGCCAACAACACCATATCATGTTTAAAGAAGTGTGTGTCTGCTGTAGGTTTATGTATCCCTGCCAACAACAGCCTATCATGTTTAAAGAAGTGTGTGTCTGCTGTAGGTTTATGTATCCCTGCCAACAACACCATATCATGTTTAAAGAAGTGTGTGTCTGCTGTAGGTTTATGTATCCCTGCCAACAACACCATATCATGTTTAAAGAAGTGTGTGTCTGCTGTAGGTTTATGTATCCCTGCCAACAACACCATATTCATCAAGTCCATCAGTGAGAAACTCTCCTCTAAAGAACCTCACCTGACTCTAGAGTTTCTGGAGGAGTGTATCCAGGGCTTTGGCAACTCCAACATTGAGATGAAACATCTGTGTCTTGAATACATCACACCTTGGCTGCCCAACCTGACCAGGTAAGCTGTATTGGTGCCCTCCCCTTCCCTGGTGTCTGTTAGACTTGTCTAGCTGCATTTCTTTTGTTACTCAGGTAGTGGCTCATCCTGTATTTCTTTGTTTTGTTTGCTGTTTCTCTGTAGATATATTACACTTGGTCAATGTGTTTGTCTTACCTGTCCAGAATATCTCTAGTCCTATTGTATACTGATACATTACCTGAAGGACAATGAATTTCTGTGAAAATAGTGTGTTTGGCCAGTCGCAACTTTATATAGGATTCTGTTTGAATATTTTTGTAAGTTAATTTTTATCCCAATTAACAATCAACATAGTTAGGCTCTATAGTAAAGAAACATTTGGCTGCCTTTGTATCATTTAGACTGTCATTGTATAGTGATTGAGCTTAAACTAAGCAGCCTGGAATGATTTTCACATTTTGCCTGAATTTTTTTTTCTCTGGATTTTTAATATTAATCTTTTTGATTTAAACCAATAGGCCTACATAATTTAAATATATTAGTTTGAATAAATATTTCCTACACAAACAATGTTCCCCGCTGTTTGTGTATGAAATATTTGAATAAAATAATCATAATTGAAAGCGTTAAGCAATAATTTTTATTTTAAGTTATGAGTTATTTCATAAAGAAAGAAAATGCTTATAATTTTAGGCAAGAACAAAATCAAAATTTAAAAAATTCACATGTTCGGTAAATTAATTATTCATTTTTTAAAATAAAAAACAAACTGAAGTTACTACAGGTTTTTTTTTCTTCTACACTTATGGATTTGATTCTATTAGAACACAGTTTTTTGGGGGTAAACTTTTTTCTGCATGACACATGAGTTTAGAGACAGTTTGAACTAAATCAACTACATGGTCAAACTACCAGTCTCAAACACAAGTTCATATAGCCGCACTGTTTATAAAATGACAAGATATAGAATAGAAATTTTGGATTCAGTGTAGGACAAAGTTTCAACATTGGGGAACATTGTTAGTGTAGGAAATATTTTCAACATTAGGGAACATTGTTAGTGGAGGAAATATTTTCAACATTGGGGAACATTGTTAGTGGAGGAAATATTTTCAACATTAGGGAACATTGTTAGTGTAGGAAATATTTTCAACATTGGGGAACATTGTTAGTGGAGGAAATATTTTCAACATTGGGGAACATTGTTAGTGTAGGAAATATTTTCAACATTGGGGAACATTGTTAGTGGAGGAAATATTTTCAACATTGGGGAACATTGTTAGTGTAGGAAATATTTTCAACATTGGGGAACATTGTTAGTGGAGGAAATATTTTCAACAGTGGGGAACATTGTTAGTGTAGGAAATATTTTCAACATTGGGGAACATTGTTAGTGGAGGAAATATTTTCAACATTGGGGAACATTGTTAGTGGAGGAAATATTTTCAACATTGGGGAACATTGTTAGTGTAGGAAATATTTTCAACATTGGGGAACATTGTTAGTGGAGGAAATATTTTCAACATTGGGGAACATTGTTAGTGGAGGAAATATTTTCAACATTGGGGAACATTGTTAGTGTAGGAAATATTTTCAACATTGGGGAACATTGTTAGTGGAGGAAATATTTTCAACAGTGGGGAACATTGTTAGTGTAGGAAATATTTTCAACATTGGGGAACATTGTTAGTGTAGGAAATATTTTCAACATTGGGGAACATTGTTAGTGTAGGAAATATTTTCAACAGTGGGGAACATTGTTAGTGGAGGAAATATTTTCAACATTGGGGAACATTGTTAGTGTAGGAAATATTTTCAACATTGGGGAACATTGTTAGTGTAGGAAATATTTTCAACATTGGGGAACATTGTTAGTGGAGGAAATATTTTCAACATTGGGGAACATTGTTAGTGGAGGAAATATTTTCAACATTGGGGAACATTGTTAGTGGAGGAAATATTTTCAACATTGGGGAACATTGTTAGTGGAGGAAATATTTTCAACATTGGGGAACATTGTTAGTGTAGGAAATATTTTCAACAGTGGGGAACATTGTTAGTGGAGGAAATATTTTCAACATTAGGGAACATTGTTAGTGTAGGAAATATTTTCAACATTAGGGAACATTGTTAGTGGAGGAAATATTTTCAACATTAGGGAACATTGTTAGTGGAGGAAATATTTTCAACAGTGGGGAACATTGTTAGTGTTCACAATGCTAATGAAAATCAAGTTTATAATTCTGGGTATTAACCAACTGAGAAAATATGTACACTTCATTACTTTCGTTGGTCAGCTGGTCTATCTTCTCTATTACTTTTCTTGGTCAGTTGACCCATCTTCTCCATAACTTTTCCTGGACAGTTGGCCCAACTCTTTCTTGTGAGCTCATTTTAAATGATGAAGTGTAAGACAGACACATGTTTAAGTGCTCAGTGCCACCACCTCTCTTTCTGCTTGAACTCATGTGGCCCTTGATTCTTGTAGTATGTTATTTGTTGCCTTATACATCTAATGTCATAATTCCCATCACATTAGGTGGATCTCTCAACCATGCCAAATACAAGGATGGGCGCAACATCTACGGTATGTCCCACTTGTAGTCATATATGCAACTTTGTACAGAAGAAACATCAATTATAAAGCCCCCATTGACACCACACAGAAATAAGTGTGAAATATCTTAGTCTACTACTGCTGTGGGATGATCTTTTGTACTCTAGTTACTGCTGTGTGATCTTTTTGTATTGTATTTTAGTAACTGCTGTGTGATGATTTTTTTTTTATTGTATTCTAGTTACTGCTGTGTGATGATCTTTACTTTCTCATATACAGAGTATAGAGGAAGTATTGTAATTGTGCACAAAAATCACATGAAACTTTGAGTTTTCACAGTTTTACACCTCAGTACTTCATCACATGTGGAGTATAAGGGACTTAGTTTAATCGGGCAAAGATTATAAATCCAGATTTATCAAAATTTTGGCATTTTATGCGTATTATAAGTATTATATCAAATTTGTAGTTCAGTATCAACTTTTCAGCAATTTCCAATAACCGGAAGTGGGACTTATTCTACTTTGAATTTTTTAAAAGTCTATAACTTGAGTAATATTTCAGATAGATAAATGAAATTTCACATGTAAGTAAAAGTTCTAATTCTCTGCCTTCTGTCAAATTTTGAGTAATTTCCGTTGACCAGAAGTAGTAATTCACGCTATTTCTGATTTCTCAAAAAAAAAACGAATTTTATAAATTACTAATAATATTCAGCATTATTGTTTGCCATTCACTTGGTGCGCAATTCTTTTTTTTCTACAAGATTCTATTATATTTTTAAAAGTTTAAGCAATTAAAAATTGATTAAAAATCATGTCTATATCCCACATTGCCATCCCCTGTAGTGTTATATAAGAATATTCAAGAAAGTTTAGGAGAGATCACTACTGGTTTATTTTGTATTGTAACTCTAGTAACTGCTGTGTGATGATCTTTGTATTCTAGTAACTGCTGTGTGATAATCTTTGTATTCTAGTAACTGCTGTGTGATGATCTTTTTGTTTCATATTCTAGTAACTGTATATTGTTGACAAAACAAGCTCACCTAACTTTGTCTTGAATGATTAGGAATGTCTGAGGTTGGATCAATCATTTGTAGCTTTTGTCTAATTGACTGTTTCTGTCTATAAATTGTAGCTTTTGTCTAGTTGACTGTTTCCGTCAACAAATTGTAGCTTTTGTCTAGTTGACTGTGTCTGTCAACAAATTGTAGCTTTTGTCTAGTTCACTGTGTCTGTCAACACGCTTGCTTTGGTGGGTTAGCCTTGTACACATGAACTCTTGAATGTCTAAACAAACATGAATCATTTTTAATTGAATGGGCTAACAAATTGAGGAAGCATCTATAGACTCTAATGTTTCCATTTTTGTCTAATGTGATTTGTAGCATTTGCTTGCTTCTTCTTACAAAACATGTATAACCTAACTTCTAGGTTTTGAGGTTTTTAAAAAAAACAACCCATGCACATTTAATAAGAACTCAAAGTTTTGTTTGACCAACTGAGGCTTTATTTCCTGGAGGTGTCTCAGCTCCTTATTGCATCATCTGGTAGATCAGTGTCAACATTTTCTTTCACATGTGTGTTCATTACTTGTGTATTCACAAGCATTTGTATTCATTACATGTGTATTCACAAGCATTTGTATTCATTACATGTGTATTCACAAGCATTTGTATTCATTACATGTGTATTGACTAGCATTTGTATTCATTACTTGTGTATTGACTAGCATTTGTATTCATTACATGTATATATGAATGCTTTGTGTCTTTTGGTTAAGTAACAGAAAATGCAAACAGTATGTAATGTTTTAGTTAGCTCTGTTGATTGACTTGGTTGTAGTGGTGAAGTTTGATCAGTACGTCAGCATGGCTCTAATTGCAGCATTGTCTTTCAGGTTTTGTAAGCAGTCTGATGAGAACAAACGTCAGAAAGTGGCTCTCATTCTGGACAAGCTCATCACCATGACCATTGAGGAGGTGGAAATGTATCCTTCCATTCAGGCCAAAATCTGGGGCAACATTGGTCAGATTGGTGACCTGCTGGACATGGTGTTAGACAGTTTTATTAAGGTGGGAAACTAGTTGAAACCAGTAGACTACATTTTGCTGCTCAACATTTACTTAACTGTCATAATGGCCCATAGTCGGCCATTATACTCCTGTCTGTGGTGTTAACCAAATCAACAGTTATTAAAAATGCTAATGAATAAATATGCTGGCTTAGAGGAAATAACTTTTTGATATTCATTATAAAATGGGTGAATATTTTCTCTGTATTTTTACTATGAAAATATCTGTCTGAAGCTGCATAAGGTCCCTCTTGAACTTTATTTGATTTGTTCTGTGAGAAAATAAAGTGATGATTGGAAATTATGTTTGTGGCCTTAGTTTTAGTCATTAAAAAATTGGATTTAACTTTGACTTATTTTTACTTTCTCGTATATACGAAGTATAGAGAAAGTATTGTAATCGTGCAAAAAAAAAAAATCGAGTATTTTATCAAAATCGTAGATCCGTATCAACTTTTGAGCGATTTCCGATAACCGGAAGTGGTACTTTTCCTACTTTGAATTTTTCAAAAGCCTATAACTTGAGTACTATTTCAGATAGATAAATGAAATTTCACATGTAAGTAAAAGATCTAATTCTCTACCTTCTGTTAAATTTTGAGTGATTTCCGTTGACTGGAAGTAGTACTTTACGCTACTTCCGATTTCTCAAAAAACTAATGTAAATTTTAAAAGTACTAATAATATTGCGCACTATTATGCGCTTTTTTATTTGGCATTCACTTGGTGTGCAATTAATTTGTCTACGAGATTTTATTCTATTTTTAAAACTTTAAGTATTTAAAATGGATTAAAAATCATGTCTATAGCCCGAGTTCCCATCCCCTGTTATTTTATATAAGAATATTCGAGAAAGTTTAGGGGAGATCACTCCCGGTTTATTTTTTTATAAATTCATGTCTTTTTACTTTCTTGTATATACGAAGTATAGAGAAAGTCTTGTAATCGTGCAAAAAAAAAAAATCGAGATTTTTACAAATCTCGACGTTTTACACCTCCCTGAGTCGGGAAAACATATTTTTGCAATCTTGTCCATATGTCAGTGTGTGTATGTGTGTGTGTCTCTAATCACGATAACTTGAGTACCATTACAGCTAGGTTGATGAAATTTCATATATAAGTATTTTATTAAAATCGTAGCTCCGTATCAAATTTTGAGCGATTTCCAATAACCGGAAGTGGTACTTTTTCTACTTTGAATTTTTCAAAAGCCTTTAACTTGAGTACTATTTCAGATAGATAAATGAAATTTCACATGTTAGTAAAAGATCTAATCCTTTACCCTCTATCAAATTTTGAGTAATTTCCGTTGACCGGAAGTAGTAATTTACGCCATTTCCAATTTCTCAAAAAAACGCATGTAAATTTATAAAGTACTAATAATATTGCGCACTATTATGCACATTTTGTTTTGGCGTTTGCTTGGTGCGCAATTCTTTTTTCTATGAGATTCTATTCTATTTTTAAAAGTTTAAGTAATTAAAAATCATGTCTATACATTCGAGTTGCCATCCCACATAATGTTATATAAGAAAATTCGAGAAAGTTTAGGGGAGATCACTCTATTTTTTTTTTTTACTGTTATTGTGAGAGTGAGTCATGAATTAAAATTTTTAAAAAAAAATCACTTTTCAAAAGGTTAGCTATGCTTAAGATAACATTTTCTAGTGTCTAAAAATGTATGAGGGTTTTAGGGTGAGTTAAATACAGATTTTGATTAGTCTAATTTTATTCATCCTGTAAATGTCTAGATAAAAACAAATTATTTTTTGTATCAGAAGATTTCTTGTCTAATGTACTTTCAGAAACTGTAGACTTGTAAGGCTCTCTGATTTTAGACTTGTAAGGCTCTCTGATTTTAGACTTGTAAGGCTCTCTGATTTTAGACTTGTAAGGCTCTCTGATTTTAGACTTGTAATGCTCTCTGATTTTAGACTTGTAAGGCTCTCTGATTTTAGACTTGTAAGGCTCTCTGATTTTAGACTTGTAATGCTCTCTGATTTTAGACTTGTAAGGCTCTCTGATTTTAGACTTGTAAGGCTCTCTGATTTTAGACTTGTAAGGCTCTCTGATTTTAGACTTGTAAGGCTCTCTGATTTTAGACTTGTAAGGCTCTCTGAGTTTAGACTTGTAAGGCTCTCTGATTTTAGACTTGTAAGGCTCTCTGATTTTAGACTTGTAAGGCTCTCTGATTTTAGACTTGTAAGGCTCTCTGATTTTAGACTTGTAAGGCTCTCTGATTTTAGACTTGTAAGGCTCTCTGAGTTTAGACTTGTAAGGCTCTCTGATTTTAGACTTGTAAGGCTCTCTGATTTTAGACTTGTAAGGCTCTCTGATTTTAGACTTGTAAGGCTCTCTGATTTTAGACTTGTAAGGCTCTCTGATTTTAGACTTGTAAGGCTCTCTGATTTTAGACTTGTAAGGCTCTCTGATTTTAGACTTGTAAGGCTCTCTGATTTTAGACTTGTAAGGCTCTCTGATTTTAGACTTGTAAGGCTCTCTGATTTTAGACTTGTAAGGCTCTCTGATTTTAGACTTGTAAGGCTCTCTGATTTTAGACTTGTAAGGCTCTCTGATTTTAGACTTGTAAGGCTCTCTGATTTTAGACTTGTAAGGCTCTCTGATTTTAGACTTGTAAGGCTCTCTGATTTTAGACTTGTAAGGCTCTCTGATTTTAGACTTGTAAGGCCCTCTGATTTTAGACTTGTAAGGCTCTCTGATTTCATTGAACAGTTTTGACCATTTTTACAAGCTTATCTAAAATGACTTGATGCCACAGAAGAATAGCACTTGACAGTTTGAGGGTTAATTTATCAATAAATATTTCATCAATTAAAGATTTAACACCCTGTCACTCCCAACTAATGAACACCTACGATACATATTACCATCAAAGTCATAAACCCAACATTCAATAGAATACCTGAAATAGGCATAAATTACATCTCAGACTGTTTAATATCAAGCCGGGAACGTAAAATGAGTTTTTGGGCACAGGGTAAACAGGGGAATTTGAGAATATCCTGCTCCTCCTACCCGCTCCTCCAGAAAGCTAACACTACTCTCTCTCTCTCTCTCTCTCTCTCTCTCTCTCTCTCTCTCTCTCTCTCTCTCTCTCTCTCTCTCTCTCTCATAACATTATGTATCATATGTTGAGATGTTTATACAATCATAACAATATGTATCATATGTTGAGATGTTTATACAATCATAACATTATGTATCATATGTTGAGATATTTGTACAATTGTAACAATATGTATCATATGTTGAGATATTTGTACAATTGTAACAATATGTATCATATGTTGAGATATTTGTACAATCATAACATTATGTATCATGTTGAGATATTTATACAATTGAAACATTACTTATCATATGTTGAGATATTTGTACAATCATAACATTATGTATCATATGTTGAGATATTTGTACAATCATAACATTATGTATCATATGTTGAGATATTTGTACAATCATAACATAATGTATCATATGTTGAGATATTTATACAATTGAAACATTACGTATCATATGTTGAGATATTTGTACAATCATAACATTATGTATCATGTTGAGATATTTATACAATTGAAACATTACTTATCATATGTTGAGATATTTGTACAATCATAACATTATGTATCATATGTTGAGATATTTGTACAATCATAACATTATGTATCATATGTTGAGATATTTGTACAATCGTAACAATATGTATCATATGTTGAGATATTTGTACAATTGTAACAATATGCATCATATGTTGAGATATTTGTACAATTGTAACAATATGTATCATATGTTGAGATATTTGTACAATCATAACATTATGTATCATGTTGAGATATTTATACAATCGAAACATTACGTATCATATGTTGAGATATTTGTACAATCATAACATTATGTATCATATGTTGAGATATTTGTACAATCATAACATAATGTATCATATGTTGAGATATTTATACAATTGAAACATTACGTATCATATGTTGAGATGTTTATACAATCATAACATTATGTATCATATGTTGACAGAGAAGTGTGACTGGTGGTCTGGGCTCCATCCAAGCAGAAATAATGGCAGACACAGCTGTAGCTCTCACTTCAGCCAATGTCCTTCTGGTTTCACGTAAAGTCATAGGCAGGCTTTGTCGGGTACAGTTTTCTATCAACTTTTTAGTCCAGTATACATACATAGGGAGGCTTTGTCGGGTACAGTTTTCTATCAACTTTTTATTCCAGTATACATACATAGGGAGGCTTTGTCGGGTACAGTTTTCTATCAACTTTTTATTCCAGTATACATACTTTGGCTGTCATAATTGGCCATTAAAAAAAAAAGATTTGAAAAAGAATCCCGTAGCATCATGTTGTCTATGTTAAACTCTTCAAAGCATTTTTTCATTCAGACCTCATTCAATTTGAACAGAGTTAATGACAGCTTGGATTTTAACGAAAGCTTATGAAATAAATGTAGTGATATGATCAATATAGCAAGCATGTAACCATGTAAAGTTGAGCTCATTCCAACCACCTGGATGTATATTTTGATGTATTTTTCATATTCTGGTAGTTTGAAACATCATTTCTACTTTACTTTCCTATTTTTTCTCAAAAGGGTACTTCATTAAAGGCTATTGGCCAAAAGGGTACTTTATTAAAGGCTATTGTCCCATACCATCCCCTCCCTCGCCTCATAAAGGTTCTGAATTTCCTGTATGATGCAGCAAAATATTTTCAAATGTTTGCCAAAACTTTGCCAGTAATTGTTTGGTTTGTTTCAGCTGATTGACAAAACATGCACATCTCCCACCTTTACTTTGGAGCAGCATTTGATGTGGGATGACATTGCCATCTTAGCCAGATATTTGCTCATGTTGTCTTTCAATAACTCCCTAGATGGTCAGTTGAGTTAGATGTGTACATCTTTTCAATTGTAATATGCAGTGTACAATAGAATAATTGTGATGATTGTTTTTTCTCTCCAGTGGCCAGCCATCTGCCATTCCTGTTCCATATTGTCACCTTGTTAGTATCTACTGGACCTTTGTCACTGCGAGCCTCTACACACGGCCTGGTCATCAACATCATCCACTCACTCTGTACCTGCTCCCAGCTACATTTTTCTGGTCAGTTCACAACTCACTACAACTTAGCTATCACATCTGTCTAGAGCTTCATTTCTTAGGGCAATATACCTGGCATAGAAGATGAAAGTAAGAATATATTGACACAGGTTCATGTTTGGTCAGTGTGTGTAAGACTGTAACCAGCAATGTGTGTGTGTCTAACCAGCAATGTGTGTGTGTGTAACCATCAATGTGTGTGTGTGTGTAACCAGCAATGTGTGTGTGTGTGTAACCAGCAATGTGTGTGTGTGTGTAACCAGCAATGTGTGTGTGTGTGTAACCAGCAATGTGTGTGTGTAACCAGCAATGTGTGTGTGTGTGTAACCAGCAATGTGTGTGTGTAACCAGCAATGTGTGTGTGTGTAACCAGCAATGTGTGTGTGTGTGTGTAACCAGCAATGTGTGTGTGTGTGTAACCAGCAATGTGTGTGTGTGTAACCAGCAATGTGTGTGTGTGTGTAACCAGCAATGTGTGTGTGTGTGTGTAACCAGCAATGTGTGTGTGTAACCAGCAATGTGTGTGTGTGTGTGTAACCAGCAATGTGTGTGTGTAACCAGCAATGTGTGTGTGTAACCAGCAATGTGTGTGTGTGTGTGTAACCAGCAATGTGTGTGTGTGTGTAACCAGCAATGTGTGTGTGTGTGTAACCAGCAATGTGTGTGTGTAACCAGCAATGTGTGTGTGTGTAACCAGCAATGTGTGTGTGTGTGTGTAACCAGCAATGTGTGTGTGTGTGTGTAACCAGCAATGTGTGTGTGTGTAACCAGCAATGTGTGTGTGTGTGTGTGTAACCAGCAATGTGTGTGTGTGTAACCAGCAATGTGTGTGTGTGTGTAACCAGCAATGTGTGTGTGTGTGTAACCAGCAATGTGTGTGTGTGTGTAACCAGCAATGTGTGTGTGTGTGTAACCAGCAATGTGTGTGTGTGTGTAACCAGCAATGTGTGTGTGTGTAACCAGCAATGTGTGTGTGTGTAACCAGCAATGTGTGTGTGTGTGTAACCAGCAATGTGTGTGTGTGTGTAACCATCAATGTGTGTGTGTGTGTAACCAGCAATGTGTGTGTGTGTGTAACCAGCAATGTGTGTGTGTGTGTAACCAGCAATGTGTGTGTGTGTGTAACCAGCAATGTGTGTGTGTAACCAGCAATGTGTGTGTGTGTGTAACCAGCAATGTGTGTGTGTAACCAGCAATGTGTGTGTGTGTAACCAGCAATGTGTGTGTGTGTGTGTGTAACCAGCAATGTGTGTGTGTGTGTAACCAGCAATGTGTGTGTGTGTAACCAGCAATGTGTGTGTGTGTGTAACCAGCAATGTGTGTGTGTGTGTGTAACCAGCAATGTGTGTGTGTAACCAGCAATGTGTGTGTGTGTGTGTAACCAGCAATGTGTGTGTGTAACCAGCAATGTGTGTGTGTAACCAGCAATGTGTGTGTGTGTGTAACCAGCAATGTGTGTGTGTGTGTAACCAGCAATGTGTGTGTGTGTAACCAGCAATGTGTGTGTAACCAGCAATGTGTGTGTGTGTAACCAGCAATGTGTGTGTGTGTAACCAGCAATGTGTGTGTGTGTGTAACCAGCAATGTGTGTGTGTAACCAGCAATGTGTGTGTGTAACCAGCAATGTGTGTGTGTGTAACCAGCAATGTGTGTGTGTGTAACCAGCAATGTGTGTGTGTGTAACCAGCAATGTGTGTGTGTGTGTGTAACCAGCAATGTGTGTGTGTGTGTAACCAGCAATGTGTGTGTGTAACCAGCAATGTGTGTGTGTGTGTGTAACCAGCAATGTGTGTGTAACCAGCAATGTGTGTGTGTGTAACCAGCAATGTGTGTGTGTGTAACCAGCAATGTGTGTGTGTGTAACCAGCAATGTGTGTGTGTGTAACCAGCAATGTGTGTGTGTAACCAGCAATGTGTGTGTGTGTAACCAGCAATGTGTGTGTGTGTAACCAGCAATGTGTGTGTGTGTGTAACCAGCAATGTGTGTGTGTGTAACCAGCAATGTGTGTGTGTAACCAGCAATGTGTGTGTGTAACCAGCAATGTGTGTGTGTGTAACCAGCAATGTGTGTGTGTGTAACCAGCAATGTGTGTGTGTAACCAGCAATGTGTGTGTGTGTGTAACCAGCAATGTGTGTGTGTGTGTAACCAGCAATGTGTGTGTGTGTAACCAGCAATGTGTGTGTGTGTGTAACCAGCAATGTGTGTGTGTGTAACCAGCAATGTGTGTGTGTGTAACCAGCAATGTGTGTGTGTGTGTAACCAGCAATGTGTGTGTGTGTGTAACCAGCAATGTGTGTGTGTGTGTGTAACCAGCAATGTGTGTGTGTGTGTGTAACCAGCAATGTGTGTGTGTGTGTGTAACCAGCAATGTGTGTGTGTAACCAGCAATGTGTGTGTGTGTGTAACCAGCAGTGTGTGTGTGTAACCAGCAATGTGTGTGTGTGTGTAACCAGCAATGTGTGTGTGTGTAACCAGCAATGTGTGTGTGTGTAACCAGCAATGTGTGTGTGTGTAACCAGCAATGTGTGTGTGTGTAACCAGCAATGTGTGTGTGTGTGTGTAACCAGCAATGTGTGTGTGTGTAACCAGCAATGTGTGTGTGTGTAACCAGCAATGTGTGTGTGTGTAACCAGCAATGTGTGTGTGTGTGTAACCAGCAATGTGTGTGTGTGTGTAACCAGCAATGTGTGTGTGTGTAACCAGCAATGTGTGTGTGTGTAACCAGCAATGTGTGTGTGTAACCAGCAATGTGTGTGTAACCAGCAATGTGTGTGTGTCTAACCAGCAATGTGTGTGTGTGTGTGTAACCAGCAATGTGTGTGTAACCAGCAATGTGTGTGTAACCAGCAATGTGTGTGTGTGTAACCAGCAATGTGTGTGTGTGTAACCAGCAATGTGTGTGTGTGTAACCAGCAATGTGTGTGTGTGTAACCAGCAATGTGTGTGTAACCAGCAATGTGTGTGTGTAACCAGCAATGTGTGTGTGTGTAACCAGCAATGTGTGTGTGTGTAACCAGCAATGTGTGTGTGTGTGTAACCAGCAATGTGTGTGTGTGTGTAACCAGCAATGTGTGTGTGTGTGTAACCAGCAATGTGTGTGTGTGTAACCAGCAATGTGTGTGTGTGTAACCAGCAATGTGTGTGTGTGTAACCAGCAATGTGTGTGTGTGTGTAACCAGCAATGTGTGTGTGTGTGTGTGTAACCAGCAATGTGTGTGTGTGTAACCAGCAATGTGTGTGTGTGTGTGTAACCAGCAATGTGTGTGTGTGTAACCAGCAATGTGTGTGTGTGTAACCAGCAATGTGTGTGTAACCAGCAATGTGTGTGTGTGTAACCAGCAATGTGTGTGTGTGTGTAACCAGCAATGTGTGTGTGTGTGTAACCAGCAATGTGTGTGTGTGTAACCAGCAATGTGTGTGTGTGTGTAACCAGCAATGTGTGTGTGTGTGTAACCAGCAATGTGTGTGTGTGTGTAACCAGCAATGTGTGTGTGTAACCAGCAATGTGTGTGTGTGTAACCAGCAATGTGTGTGTGTGTAACCAGCAATGTGTGTGTGTAACCAGCAATGTGTGTGTGTAACCAGCAATGTGTGTGTGTGTAACCAGCAATGTGTGTGTGTGTAACCAGCAATGTGTGTGTGTGTAACCAGCAATGTGTGTGTGTGTAACCAGCAATGTGTGTGTGTGTAACCAGCAATGTGTGTGTGTGTAACCAGCAATGTGTGTGTGTGTAACCAGCAATGTGTGTGTGTGTGTAACCAGCAATGTGTGTGTGTGTAACCAGCAATGTGTGTGTGTGTAACCAGCAATGTGTGTGTGTGTAACCAGCAATGTGTGTGTAACCAGCAATGTGTGTGTGTGTAACCAGCAATGTGTGTGTGTGTGTAACCAGCAATGTGTGTGTGTGTGTAACCAGCAATGTGTGTGTGTGTAACCAGCAATGTGTGTGTGTGTGTAACCAGCAATGTGTGTGTGTGTGTAACCAGCAATGTGTGTGTGTGTGTAACCAGCAATGTGTGTGTGTAACCAGCAATGTGTGTGTGTGTAACCAGCAATGTGTGTGTGTGTAACCAGCAATGTGTGTGTGTAACCAGCAATGTGTGTGTGTAACCAGCAATGTGTGTGTGTGTAACCAGCAATGTGTGTGTGTGTAACCAGCAATGTGTGTGTGTGTAACCAGCAATGTGTGTGTGTGTAACCAGCAATGTGTGTGTGTGTAACCAGCAATGTGTGTGTGTGTAACCAGCAATGTGTGTGTGTGTAACCAGCAATGTGTGTGTGTGTGTAACCAGCAATGTGTGTGTGTGTAACCAGCAATGTGTGTGTGTGTAACCAGCAATGTGTGTGTGTGTAACCAGCAATGTGTGTGTGTGTAACCAGCAATGTGTGTGTGTGTGTAACCAGCAATGTGTGTGTGTAACCAGCAATGTGTGTGTGTGTAACCAGCAATGTGTGTGTGTGTGTGTAACCAGCAATGTGTGTGTGTGTAACCAGCAATGTGTGTGTGTGTAACCAGCAATGTGTGTGTGTGTGTAACCAGCAATGTGTGTGTGTGTGTGTAACCAGCAATGTGTGTGTGTGTAACCAGCAATGTGTGTGTGTGTAACCAGCAATGTGTGTGTGTGTAACCAGCAATGTGTGTGTGTGTAACCAGCAATGTGTGTGTGTGTGTGTAACCAGCAATGTGTGTGTGTGTAACCAGCAATGTGTGTGTGTGTAACCAGCAATGTGTGTGTGTGTGTAACCAGCAATGTGTGTGTGTGTGTAACCAGCAATGTGTGTGTGTAACCAGCAATGTGTGTGTGTGTGTGTAACCAGCAATGTGTGTGTAACCAGCAATGTGTGTGTGTGTAACCAGCAATGTGTGTGTGTGTAACCAGCAATGTGTGTGTGTGTAACCAGCAATGTGTGTGTGTGTAACCAGCAATGTGTGTGTGTAACCAGCAATGTGTGTGTGTGTAACCAGCAATGTGTGTGTGTGTAACCAGCAATGTGTGTGT